GGTCCTGCAGGGTCTTGGTGATTTCCACATCGCGGCATCTCCGGATCTCCCCCGCTGCGTCCGCCAGGCTGATTCCCCTCAGCATCGCCAGCCACATCGCCGCAGCAAGAGCGGCTCGGTGACGCCCCGCCATGCAGTGGACGATGACGACGTCTCCGTGATAGAGCGAGCGCCGCACCAGGGGCCACACCCTGTCCCAGTCCTCCTGCCGTCGGTCGGCGTGGGCGATGGCGAAGTACTCCACGTGAGCCCCGGACAAGGGCACACCTTGCCGCTGGGCCAGCCTCTCCGGGAAGCAAACCACCTGGAGGCTGCATGCTGGAAAGGCTGCGGCCGTGACTGCCGTGGGGATGCCCGCCAAAAAGAGGGCTCCTCCCCGCACGTTGTAGATCAGCGATGGGGTCTGGGCGGACTTCCCCCGCACGGTCGCCAACCGGTCCCATTTGCTGTCAGCTGGGTTCAAATCCAGGCACTCCGGGATCTCCAAGAAGTTGCCCGGGAGCTCGGCTGGTTCTGCCGGGCGCCTGGTATCCACCGAGGCAGGAACTTCGCCGATCTCCGCATCCTCGACCTCCACAACGCGGTTGGCTGCTGCGGCCTCGCGGAGCTCCTCAGCCGACGGTCTGGATGACATGGGCCCGGCCGGGGCGATTGGCAGCGGCGGTGGCAAAATCCTTCGGCGCTTCTGAGCCGGCGCCTCCGATGGCGCCCCTGCGGGGCGGGTCGCCCCCACCTCCACAGGGTCAGCCGGCACAGGCAGCCCCAGCTCGCGAAGCTTCGCCTCCGTCATACGCCGCTTTGCTCGGCACTCGCTTGCCGGGTGGCGTCCGCCACAAGCCCTGCCCGTCTGCTGCAGCATCGCGCACAAGTGCTCCCTTGCGCACGGGTCCTGGCGGCATTCGCCTGTGTTGAAGTCCGGGCACAACGCTGTGCCGTTCTTCAGATGCCCCGTGAGGAAGATCTCGCCCAGCCTGGCTGGCATGGCCCTGGCCGAGGGAGCCGGCTTTCTCATTCGCTCACGGGCGCTGTGCACGAGCGACTGGCTCAGGGAGAAACGCCGCTTCAGCGCCGTGGTCTGCGGTGCCTGGGCCCAGATCACCTCTGTGTCCCCTCGGCAAGCCTGAGCGGCCTTGATCTTGGCCTCCTCATCGGCTTCGGCGACCTCCTCCTCGGTGACCGTCTCCCAGGCCTCGCAGTCCGCGACCTTGGCCGCCACGAGGAAGGCTCTCATCTTGGTACGCATGGACAAGGCGTACTTGCCGCCGCTGTAGTGGAACGGCATCGCGACACGCTCCTCGACCTTGTCCTGCCAGTCTCCCAGGGAAACGATCTCCGCGTCCTGACGGCGGATCAAAGAGCCCACCGTCGGCAGCAATCTCCTCCAGGAATAGCTGGTGAGCTGCTCGAGGGGCTCCACCACGCCATGGAAGAGGTGCTGAGTCACTCTCTGCACCTCCCGGATGGGCCACGCCTGGCCAGAGGCTGGGTGAAAGCAGATGCCGCACTTGTCGTGCTGCTCCGGCGCTAGCCCCTGATAGTCCTCCAGCCACTTGTCGGCCCAATGCCAACCGTTGGAGAAACGAGCTGGTGCACACCAGTCGAATCCTTGCCGGTTATGGGACTGCTTCCCTTTGCGGCAGTGGCCGTGGAAGAACTCCCTGCTGATCTTCACCGGCGTGGACAAGCACAGGTGCTTGTAGCGCAGGCAACCCGAAGCCACGAGCCACGACGACAGCGCTGCTGTCCAAGCTGGATCGCGGGCTTGCTGCATCTCGATGATCCGGCCCTCCAGGGTGAGCAGCATGGGCGGTTCCACCACCACGGCCTGGGACCTCGCCTTGCGCACCTTCCCAATAACTTTGGGGGGCTTCAGGCGGTCCAGCTGCCACTGCAACCTGCCGTTGTTGGACAGCCAGCGCAATGACTGCAGCGCTCGCGATGGCGACATAGCCTGCTCAAGGAAGGCGTGAAAGTCCAACTCCTCCGGGTCCTGCACGCCCCTGGCTGCCAGGAAGAGCGAGAGCTCCTGGAACGTCCTCACCGCGTTCAGGATCGTGGTCGCCTCGGACTGGGTGACTCGCTCCTGAGCCAGCCTCCGAACCGCCTGCTGCCAGTCGGCATAGCGATCCGGGTTGTCGTACCTCCGGGGCCGAAGGACTCCCAGCTTCATTGACCCTGCGGCCCACTGCTCCGGGTTCTGCCTCAACCGCAGGCCCACGTTGCTGGTGGGGAGCCGCACCGCCGGCCTACGGAGGGTCGATGGCCCCACCGGCGTCACTCGCCAGGCCGCCTCCACCACTGCCGCGCCTGCCGGGAGGAGGTGGGCCTGTTGCTCCGCCCGCACCCGCGCCCATTCAGCGGCGACGAAGTGGCCACCCGCGCGGACCGCATCCTCGAAGGCCTCAAAGGCGAAGCCGAAGTCGGAGTCCTGCAGCAGCCCGTGCTTCTGCCGAAAGGCTCGAACATTGGCCTCCTGGACACGAGACATCAGCCCTTCGCCAGAGCCGCCCGGGTCGCCCCCGGAGTGCTGGCTTCAGTGGCATAGCGCCCAGGAGTGGCATCACCGCGAAACGCCATGGCTAAGAGCAGCGCCCCCCAGCGTAGAGCCTTGGCAGCAGCGGATGGGGCAGGCTTCGCATTGATGGATGCCACATGAAGCGCACACAGAGTGAGTCCTGCTTCCGCAGTAGGCGCAAAGCCCGCCCAGAGGGAGGTTCCTCCTGCCCTCGTCCAGCCACCCACGGAGAAGCCTCCCCGCTGTGGCTCTGGCCAGGGAGTCGCTCTCCCTGGGCCATGGCTCGGTCCACCTCCGAGCGCCCAAGCTCCATCTCCGCCAGGTCCCCATGAAGCCCCTGAAGGACACGAAGGGGAGGTCGCCAGATTCCACCCGGCCCGCGATGGCGGAGACATACATCGGGATGATGTCATGGGCACGGAGGCCACTGCCTGCTTCAGCCACCATGGCCTCAGACAGGCGATCCTCCTCATAGCACCCATGGTAGGCGGCCCAAGCCTCCTCTGCAGATGCACCTTCTTGAGCCAAGACTGCACGCCGGCACCAGGTGCCAATGAACGGGAACTTGAAGCCGCCAAGGGACCCGTCACATCTCGCACACTGGGCATCAATGCAGGGTGCAAATTGCAGGTGGGGTATCTCCCCACTATCAACCAAGGGCAGGGGAGCTTGCACGAAAGGGGCATGCAAAACTTCCACAGCCGAAAGCCAGAGCATCCGGGCCTCGCCATGCTTCCCCTGCTCCAGCAAGTTGCCCACATGGCGCTTGAAGTCGAGGTAGGCGCCTGTGGACAGGATAGGACGATCCGTGTGCACGGCAAAGTCAACTCCTGGAACTGCCAACATTCGACAAGTAACACTTGCCGAACTCGCAAACCAGAAGTTAAAATTTAGCCAGTTTGGATCATGCTTGAGCCAAAAGGCCCCGCATGATCCAATACGCTCCTTGCAGAATGAAGCCTGTAAACCCAAGCCTTCCAACCTGATACAGGATTAGGATTGCTCCCAAGATCCGAAACGAGGCAAGGGCAGTAAAGCTGTCTGGCTGTCGAATTCTATTGGGCAAGAACTACAAGTTGGCTCACGATATCGAGAGCCGCTTGCCATAGGAATTGATGGCCAGCCGAAATGTCAAGGCATAGCGGGAATACTCTTTTTGCAAAGGAGCAAGTCATGGTGGCAATGTGTCCCTAGCTGGCGTTAGAATTTGGTGAGCAAATCTATGTGTCGAATAGTTTCTTGGTGCGTGTGCCCAAAGTCATCCCCCTTCCAACAGAAGACGTCAGTGATGGCTCATTCTCGTCCGCAAGCTCTGGGCAGAGAACCGAACGCCACACTCCCACCAACACGGTTTGACTCACTTTCTGAGTGGATTGGTCAGACAAAGTCCAAACTGCTCTTGCTTACCACAAAAGCGTCCAGGCCCAAGATGCGAAAGACCATAAGCTCAGGAAGCCACGTACTATGTGGGGTATACATGTTGTATCAAGTTGGTACTCCCTTTCGTATACAAATGATGTTACATTGGACTAACATTACTATAAGTTTGGCAGACCGTTGGCATAAATGTGGTATAGCATTGGCGTAAACCCCGTACCAAGTTTGTAGCAAAGCAGGCATGGGATTAGTCTGAAATTGGTTTTGTTGTGGCCGAAATATTTATTGTCATAGAGGCAGGCCTAACTTGTAACTTGTTCCCGGGTATCGGTTAGTATCGGCCTATTGCCTCGGCATCGGATTGCAGTGCTTTGGCGGCTCTAGCTCCAGAGTCGCAACTTTTCCGCGCAACTGCAGTGTACGAGGTACTCTTTGGCAGCTCCGACTGGTTTTCAGTAGAAGTGTAGCATACGAAGTACACTTGCGCAGCTCCGGCTCGAAAGTCGCAAGTTTTCAGTGCAGTTGCACTGCGCGAAATGCACTCGGGCAGCTCCGGCTCGAAAGTTGTTCCTTTTCAGTTACAGGTGTGAAAAATGAAGTACACCTTGGCAGCTCCAGCTCGAAAGTCGCAACATTTCAGTACATGTGTAGTACTCTAAGTGCATTTTGGCAGCTCCGGGGCAACTGGCTGGATTCGGCATGACGGCCAATGAGTTGGCTATCGGTTGGGGGTCGCTTTAGGTATCGCTTTGGGTGGTGCAAATGCCCGACTTCGCAAATCTTGGTTTGACGACAACTTGGGACTCATGTAGGGCTGTGGGAATACAACAGAAAGGGCTTCCCAAAGACCAACCCCCCATATGAAGGGGGAGATTCCCTTGTATCGCAGGAAGTGCTGGGAGAAACCGCGAGTGATCCCACAGCCCTGGACGGATGTGTCTGCTGTTCCCCATCGGTTTCTTAAGGGGATCTCTCCTTTTCGACTTTCGAAAGACCCCTTTCAGTGGAGAAACCAGGCAACCGCCGGCCTTTCGGAAGCCAACTTTTCCGCTTTCGGGTTGCGGTTTCAGGTTGGCCCAATTCAGGTTGGCATACTCTGCCGAGCTTCTTGGCACCTTCTTGCCCACCATCCAGCTCTGCCTAACAAGCGCGGATCCCTCGAAAAGGGGGCAAAATGCTGGGCTGGCTATGGCAAATGAGTCATGTCGGAGCCTACTCTTGAGTCTTGTTCTGTCGTTTCTGTGTATCCGTGGCTCGTATGAGCGTGAAATAGGTGTAAGAGTGGAGAGAAGGAAGAGGATGGGCATGTCCCACCATTTTACCCTTTCATTCGGTGGGTCCATCACATTCCGATTGCTGTGTATCTCATGTTGAATGGAATTAGTATAACTATCGATGTGGAAAGAAGAAGGGAATGGTATCCTTTTCAGCTGCAAGCGCAGAACCTGGGGCAAAACTCCCAGCATCACCCGCACCGCAGCTGAGGTATTTCACACCGAACTTGTTCTACGGGCTCAAGAAACGCTCTCCTTGTCAAAGGGAAAAGAGGTACGACTGGATGCCTCTGGTAACAATCAGCTAGCATAACCAATAGGTACAAATGGATGGGCCAAAATTGGGGGATGTGCCAACTGACTGTTACTCACTCTAGGCCTGACAAGTGCGCTTGCACAGAAACAGAAACGTCGATGGACTATTGTGTCCCGATATGTTTGCCGAACCTACCGGATCTTTGGATGTGTGTGTTTCCCCCTCCCCGTTGTTTCTTGCAGAGCTCAAGGGAGTTTGCGACTTCCATTTGCCTAAGCCCCTGGAAAAAGTCAAATAAAACAAACACCAGTATATAGTGACAGGTTCCCTTTAAAACCAACAGGGGCGGGAAAATGATAAATATATCTAGCAAATGGAAGATGAACAAGCTTCACTGCTGGGCTAGTTCAAGCCAATCGGGACGCGGATGACGGGAGTTGCTTCAATCCCACTCCTTTCGGAACTGCAAGAACCGTTCAGAGGACAAACATATAAGTGGAAGACTGCGGACGTGCTACCTGGTCTGCATGTGTCGTAATGAAGTCAGCAAGTAGAGCCCTATTCTCCTGATGTTTTCTACAAATTGATCGTACATGTTCGCAACCGACGTGCACTTCAACATCAGGGTGTTGGGCACTAGCTGCAATTGTCAACAACAGCCTCTCAGTCCTTGCTGAGTGTTGCCTCTTGAGGATGGCAAGGGTTCATGGGCCAAAGCAACCCGCCACAAAATGTCTGGTTTCAACGCCCCAATACCCCCAAATCCAAACCAACTAGGGAGCATCCGATCAAGCACATGCTGCCTCAACCTTGGTCAAACCACTTGCCATCCTTGGCTGCTGATGTGAATCGACAATTCCTGTGGCCTGCAACCAACCTGCTACATGAAAAACGTCCGAATTCGTATTGCCCCGGTAAGACTTGAGCGCGCAACCGACCGCACCCCTTTGGGTCTGAGTTCCTTCCAACACTGGAGTCCATGGCGACGATAGTCTTATTTGTTTGTTCTTGTTTTTTAATTATTATTATTATTATTTATTTAATCAAAAAATAAAAGGCAAACGAGCTGGGGCAAAAGGCCTGAGGCTCCCCCCTTTCTGCTGCAGGATTTTGTTTATCCTTTCCGCGGTCTTTCGGGTCTTGAGACTCGAGGAAATTAGGTTCTGCCCGAACTCTGGGTCTGCCCGACTCCCCGGTGCCGACTTGGGCCGTCGAGTGCTCTGAGTTTTTGCGGCTGAGTCGAGTTGTTCGAGTTGGGGTCAGCGATCGGAACAAAGGCCGGCCGGGGCTGCCTTTTCTTGCAGCCGGTGCCCCTTTTCTTGGATGGAACTAGGACCCCAGCAAAAAAATAATAATAATTGTCTGGTGATAAGGGGACCCCAAAAAAGCAAAAAAAGACATCTGGGGAAGTTTTTGGGTGGTTTTGAGGGAAGCCAAGAAACAAAACGCCCCGTTGAAGCCCATTTTCGGGTCCCGGTCCAAGTCCCAAAAAAGACAAAAACACTCCGGGCTCGCTTCCGCCGCTTGCGGCCGGAGTGCAAGGAATCCTGGGACTCCTCGGTGTTCACCGTGTGCAGCGCGCGGTTCACGGCGCTCACGGAATCCATCAGAGAGCCCGCCATTTTCAGCAAGTTCCTGAAACTGTCTCTGAGAGGCCCCTCCAAAACAAGTGGCCAACGCAACTTCAGTTTCCCCTGAGAAAAAAAGCTCAGGAGCCTATCTGGGCTGAGACCCCAAAGCTTTCAGCTGTTGGGGAACAACAACAGGTACCCTCCAAAAAGGACAGCAGATGGAACTTGGAGAAGGAGGGGGAAGAGCGGGAGCTCAAAGTTTGACACTCAAAGGGGCTGACTTGGCGCGCGGAGGAAAGGGCCTTAAAGGGCCGCCCTTTCCTAACTTGGCAGGCGCCGGATCGACCACTTCTGTGATACAACAAAAAGGGCTTCCCAAAGACTAACACCCATTTACAGGGGCAGATTCCCGAAAGTATCACAGAAGTGGGAATAAACCCCTTGATTCCACAACCCTGTTGAAAAAGGACTCCAGAATCAGGTTGGGATTGCTTTCAACCCCTCAAGCATAGAGGCACTTAAACAAGCTCCCGAAAGGGTTCTGTGTGGCAAGGCGAGTGCTGCAACCCATGTCCTTGTGTTTGAGAGCCTTTGTCTCAACTTTGTCGCTCTCAAGTCTTGATGCACGTGTGTGCACATGTTGCCTGGTATGTGTGAAAATTGAGTGACCCTTCAAATGGCGATGTTCCTGTTCCCCTCTGTTTTCCTTTAACTCAAGATCAAAAGGTACCCTCAGCAATGATGCAAACCCAAATGGGATGTGCTCAATGCGAAGTGCATCCGAAGCAACTCAGAGGCCTACCATTCAAATCAGCGACCATGGGATGCTCCAGGAATGAGGGCATGGCACCCGACAGGTCCCTCCAAGAGGAAAACCTTCTTCCGGGTACCGAAGTTCCCACTGGGCGCCTTCTGTTTGCCGGGAGGCTACTTGGGTGTTCGATTCGCCCCGTGAATAAGTTGTCGGTAACCACTGGGTCATAACCCACTCGAGTGTCCCCCAACTTCAGTGGACTTCACCCTGTCAGCTGGGCACGTGCCGGCCACGTGCCTCCGATCCACCGGCGCGAACCCCGGAACCCCGACACCCCGGAAGCCCGAGACCCCGGAAGCCCCAAAAGAACTCAGCGCAAGCTGAAACACAGGAGTCATCCTCAAAACTGATTGGTCGTGTGTGTGTGTGTGTGTTTGTGTTTGTTGGTTTTTCTCGAAAGAATGGTCCAAGCCCACAGCCCTTCAATTCCTTGAACGCCGGCCGAGCCGGGCGGCGGCTGTTTAGCAAAAATGGCAAGGGGATTCTCCCACCTGCCAGTGGCTCACATGGCGCCATGCTGCCTTCAGGTACCTGGCAACAGCCAAGGTTCTGCGTATGGATGTCCTTGTTGGACTGGATCTTCATCTGGTCAGCACCTAAGCCATGTGCGCTGCGTATGTTCCAGCTACCTTATATTTAGATTCGGGACTCAAAAGGAAATTCCTATCCCCGCGAATTGTCCAGCCAAGCATGAGCCACACCAAGCGCGGAAAACAAGGTACGCATTCGCAAGCCTGCAAGCTTGGAAGATAAAGCACCGGCCGAAAGCAACACGCCAAGTATCGCGTTTCCGCGTTTCCAGCAATGAGTCATCGGGCTTGGCTGGTTTTGAAGCCAATGGTTTGGTGGGATGGACGGGCCCTGGTGCAGACAAGGTAGAAGGACGTTGGCATGCCCTGGGTTTTGATGAGGGCGAGATGAGCAGCCAAGAGCAGGAAAGCTAGAGGGAATATGGGTACTGAAACTGGAAAACTCGGTGGGCCGCAATGTTTAGTCGACTTGTCCATTTGCCAGGGTTCCATTTTGGGACAGGAGCAGCACAAGCAACAAAAGCTTTGCGCTGGGCGTTGTTGCCGCCCCTTCGAACATTTTGAGGCGCCTGAAAAAAACACTTTAGGGGGGGGGGGGGGGGTAGGAACCCCGCAGAAAAACGCCATTCAGCTTGTTTGTGATGTTGATGTCACCTCATGGGCCCCGTGAAACCAGAAAGCATCTCACCAGCGTCCCCCCCCATTGATAGCCCATTAACCCGAGCTGTCCACATTCGAGTGGCCGTACACTTCACTACTCGGTTAGGACAATAGATTGCCCACAGGAAACATATATAGGAATCACCGCCCCTTATTTAGAAGCGAGGAGCCCTATAGATTTGAGCTATCCTGGGGAAACAAAAGAAGCAAGCAAGCAAGCAAGCAAACAAGCAAACAAACAAAAAAGCACTGGTGTAGACGCAAAGAGGCACAGACCATCTTCCAGCCAGCCAGCAAAGGCAGGCAAAGAAAAGCAAACAACCACAAGAGCAAACCAACGGCTTAACGCCAAACACAGCAGGCAACCAGGTAGCAACACTGTCTCCCTCACCAAAAGAGGCCAACACAAAAACACAAGGTCAAACCGCAGACACTGACACAGCACGAAAAGCACCCAGAGACCACCAAGAGCAACCAGGCAAAGTCAGGGCGCTGTCGCTGAAGACGAGGTCCACTTGGCACTGCGGCATGTTTGGGAAGAACTCCTGGAGCGGGAAGCGGATGAGATGCTCTTTCGCAAAAAGGTCCGCTGACTGGGGAACCAAGAAAAAGTGGGGTTCAGGTTGAAACTGAACAAATGCGGTTTCCTGAAAGACGGGGAACCCCCAAAAAAGGGGGGGTTAAAAGTTGAACCCGAACAAACGGGGTTTCCTCAAAAAGGGTTGCTCAAAGAAAAATGAGTGTCCCTGGTCTTTTGCGGGCGCAAAAACGTTTTTCGGCGTTTTGCTTGGGGGGGGCTTTACAGTAAAGGGACACCAAAAGGAAAAGTCGAAGCCATTTCGGCGCCAAGTATGGGTCAAAATCCAAATCGGTTACCCCCCAGTGAACATCCGATTCAATCCCCTCTAGAATAAGTTCTAAAATGGGTGGTGAATTCACCTACCAACCAAATGGGATCCCATTGGTTTTGACCCACAGCCAAATGGAGTTCCCTGAAGGGTCAAGTCCAACAGTTTCCCCCTTCTGTTGGGACAAACCCACATCCACGTTCCTCATGTGGAGACAAAAGGACAGAAGCCCAACGCGTAGCCGGCTTGAACTTCATGTTCGAGACTGGAAGTGTATGCAATGGCCATTGGGAACGTGACAGGAAAAGATGCAAATCCTCAAGCATTGCACATGGATGTGCCTTTTTTGTTTGTTTTCGGAATGGCCACGGTTTCCTTTTGGTTTCCCTTTTTTCGCTAAAGGGTCGATAAGGATTGACAGACCCACACATGCCACAGCCAAACCCACGTCCATGGGTCCGGTCTAGCGACAACGAGGGATGGCTTGAAACTGAAAGCTGCACGGTTCACGGTTCACCACCACGATCAACCCAAGCAACAAACGATTCTTTATAACCATCATAACAGCCAAGCAAAAGAAAAAAGAAAACGATTCTTTCGAAAACTGCCAGCAAAAGCCACACCCAGTAAATCATGTTATAAAAACTAGGCAAATATCGATTCGTTCATAACCAGCCAGAAAACAAACAATTCAATAATGGTCTTTCACAAAAAATATCAAGACCAGGTAAATAACGCTCCTTTCATAACCAGCCAGGCAAAATCAAGTAAATTGTGTTCTTGCATGACCATTACAATCATTTTATAACCAGCCAGGAAAACACCACGTAAATGAAGTTCTTTCATAACCATTATAAAAACCAAGTAAATGACGATTCTGACATAACCAGCCAGGACAAGCCCAACATCACCCTCGGCAACCAAGCCTGTTACAGGGAGTCAAAAGGATCCGAAATGCGACGAAACCCAAGGACCCCTTGAAATCAATCCAGACCACCGATCAAAGGGTAAAAGTATGACGCCCATCCCCGGCTCTCCAAACAAGAATACCGGAAGGCCAAAACAGGCGTCCGACTTTCCACTGCAATCAGTCCTTCAAGGTTTCCTTCTCAAGGAGGTCTGGGTGATACTTCTCCGAGCACTTGTTCGCGATCTCCAGCTCGCTGACCCATCTCCTGGAGGCGGCAGGCTTTGCCAGGCTCGGTATCGAATTTTTGGGTTGTTTGAAAGGAAGGGCAAGGGGGCCCCATTTTGTAGGCTCCACTTTTTTTTGAGACAAGCTCATACTCAAGTCCTGAGTGAATCGCCCAAAAACACATAGACTGAACCGCTTGTTTGCCAAATGGTCCAAAAGAAAAAGTACGAAGCCGGGGAGCCCAGGGAGTTGATCAACCGGAGGCCAACGGACCTGAGTCTGGCCACTCGCGTTTAGCGCGCCCTCTATTTTCCGTCTGGACGAGGAACTTTGGAAAGTGGACAAGTTGGCGAAGTTTGGTTTTCACCAAACGCAAAAAGTTGGGCAAGCCGGAAACAGGATGCGTTAAAGGGAACCCAAAAAGGACATCAACAGGATCGATCTCCAGGCAAGCCTTCACCACGGCTTGGAGTGGACGGGATTCTACCCACAAAGCTCTTAACCCGGAATTTCTCCACTGGCTTGGCTGTGGTTCAAAAATAGGTACCCTAAACGGAACTCTGGCCAAGTGGAGCCATGGACCAAAACCTGCGGTCCAATTCCCGGTGGTTTAATTGCGACCCATGCCCACTTGGAGTCAACCCAAAAAAAAAATGGTGTTGCCTCAAGGGACCAAAACGAAAGATGGCAATGGCGTCCTGTTGTTTTCCAGTTGACAACCACACCCAAAACGGCCACCTTTCGGAAAAAAAAAGGGGGAGAAAAAAAACACAACGAGCCCCGCTTCTTTGCCAGCTCCCGAAGGGATGAAGGCTGAATTCGACAAGTCCCAGCCACCTAGACCCCAAGTGGTGGGACCTCCCCAAGTGGCAGTGGGACCTCCCCAAATCAAGTTTGATTCTTTCCCAAACCTGGGCTGCCCTCAGATCCTCCGACAAAAGTTTAACTTTTAGCGGGTTAAATAAAAACTACCACTAAACACTAAAAAGCTAAAAGGCTGAGGGGATGGCTGAGAGCCACCAAGAAACCCATACCAAAGCATTCAAAAGGCACGCTGCATTGAAAAGACTCAGGGCGCCTTGCCGTGCCTTTGGCGACCCTATCAAGCTTCAGAATCTATACCCTTGCTATGGGCTTGCAAAACACGGACTCTTGTTTGCAGCCCCCTTACCAAAAATATGAACAGAACCAACAAAAGCGAAAGACCTAAACGCTTGATCCGAAAAAAGCAACCAACCTGCCCCGGTTCGCTGCTCGAGCGGTCCTCAGGTACACCAAGCGATGCCAGAACTGCCCCAGGGTGTTCCAAACCTGAGCGGGAACGAGCGCCGTCCGAGCGCAGCGTCCCAGCGCGTCAGCCTATACGGCCAACCTGCGGATTTAGGTGGTTTAGGGTGTTTAAAGAACCCCCCCAAAAAAAAACGTGAGTCGAAACCTCTAAAATGGACCACTGCCCGCGAAACATCAACCAAAACAGGGTGTTTGTGCTGGGTCACCTCCCTCATACGGTGTAGAATGGAGAAGACAGGCATGACATTCGGAAAGGCGACCGGAATCTATTCGCCTGGATGGTTAACCCACGTTCACGTACTTTCTCTCTCACCGTTCCATCTCTGCCTAATGCGATTTGACAGGACCAGATGGAAAGGATGCGGAAAGAGAAGGACTTGCTGGTGCTCGGGAATGAGGGAATGAAATATGGGGTGTCCCCTTACAGTAAAGGAAACCACCAGTTGGATAGTTTACATCCGGCTCATTCCATGTCTCATTCCCTGCATCTCTCGCACCGATCGCAAGAACGGCTTTCGCCAGGTAGAGCCAAAAGACCCTTGATTACACCCATTCCTTCGGCTAGCACGGAGCACCTTCTGTGAATCTTTGCGCTATCCGTAAACCGCACCACGACCTGAAACCGTGGTTGAAACCGTAGCGTCCGTGGGTTTTTGCCGTCGTTCCAGCGGAATCAAACCTGTGGGTTGCGTAGGCGCAGGACTTCGTCCACCGAGGCGAAAAAAAACGGGCTCGCCTCGTCGCTTGCATCTTAGGGGCCAAAGAGGCGCCGTCAACAATGTGCGTTTCGGAAAACAACGACAGTGGGGGGGGGGTCACCGCCTGGAACATATATATAGATATATCATATGCGTGTGTGGTGTGCGTAGGGCCACGCAGCTATTTCATCCCATGAAATAACGAAATAACATGTTGTAGGAGGACGACGTATTCAAGACACCTTCACTGGGTGGTCTTGCTGTGATGTCCTCATGAATCGCTACATCAAAGACCAAAGGAGCACCTTCATTGAGGGATTCAATACAACTTCGCCAGGGACGAAAACACGGGATCACGAGAGATACTCAGTCGTGCCAGATCGTAGATTCCCAAACTGGGGACCTTTTGGTGGACGTCATTTAGGTGGGGATTTATGTCCACCAACCACTTTCCAGGGGTTCCAACCATCAAACTTCATAGCCAACTCAGTGCAGACCAAACAAGCTGCCGGTCACCTTCCCGGCAAAAAGCAAAAAGCGCCTCACTGGGCTCAAGCTTCGCTACATGAGACGGGCCAAAAGTACTTCAGTGAGTCCTCTAGATCAGCCAGTATATTGCGTGCCAAATTGCGAGCGTCTGCTTTCTCTAATCTGTGAAATGTCGGCAATAAATGCGGATGATGGACAGAGCATGTCACCGCCAAATGCGCAGAGGAAAAACACACACACACACACACAACATGACACATGTGAAATCTCTGCAAATAAAAACAAACTCCTTGACGGTTTCGGATACGTATATCAACATCGGTCTAATATTGTTCTCAGATGCCCCGTGCGTGGATTTCCAGGAAAAAAAGGGCATCCTTGTTTTGGTTGGTTAAGTTTAAAGGGAACCCTGTCAAAAAAAAGGGAAGAAAGGCACCACTGAACAACTGGGTGTTAGTGGCACGATGTCATACAGGTACGGAGTGTTTGTCCCATGTAGTTCACGCCGGCGCGAAAAGACGCAAGCATCTATAGAAGGATTCCTGAGATCTACAACTTGCTCGAAACAGGCAGTCTTTCCAGTGCGACGTTGTTGCTGTTTGTTTAGTGATGCTCGGTGTGTTTTTGGAGGGTATCCTTTTCATCGTTGACTTGAAGGGCAACCAAAGACACACCGCTTATTTGTCGGATCCCCCTATTTTGACACATACCCATACGAGTGCGTTGTCTTAGGAATCTGCCCCCCAAAAATGGCTTCTTGTCTCCTCTTAAAACCACCCGAAAAGGGTGCCCTCAACAAAAGACAGACCCAATCAAACCCATACGGGTTGGATATTTTTAGGGACCCGCCAAAAATGGTGGGTGTCCCTTATGGGTTCCCCTGAAAACCCAGGTACCCTCCACGCGGGCCGTAAGCCCAGCGGCAGCTTCCCTGGAGACCTGCGCTTTTTGGACCTCCTTGTAGGTGTCCAGGATGATGGCGATCAACAAGTTGATCAGCAGCATGTTCACGAACACCTGAGCTGTCCATGCCCAGAATCTGGCTCCGTTTTTGGAGTTGATCCCGGGCCCCACGGATCTGTTAAGGGTGTTCCTTACTTTGGGTTGACTCCAAAAGAGCACTGACCTGTTTTGGAGTGGGTAAAATCCAAGGAGCCCAAAACAAGACTTTCTGGGGAGTCCCATATTTTAACACACCTCCAGACTATGCCTTTGGTCTCTTTGAGACCATGGGAAAACCAGAAATGTGGACGGGGCTCACCTGGTTTGGTTGAAGATGCCTTGCTCTTTGCATGTTTGTTCCCGAAGGGAAAGCTGCATGCTCAGGAACAGGTGAATGAAATACAATTTCCACAAAAGCCTGGGCAAAGTGCAGGTGTCAGAAGCAGTTTTATATCCGTCTCATTTCGTTACCCCACCCTTCGCACATACCAAACACTCAGGGGCCCAAATACAATTTCTAGGTCCTCCAGTAGAGAGGTTAGAATAAGGAAGGGTACCAACTCTTTTCTGCAGTCTATTTTAGCAGGGGAACCGAATCTCCCAACCAAAAAAGGGTAAAAGGGCACCACTGGGGGACCTAGCCCTTAATAAGGCCTTGTTCAGGGCTCTCAACAAGGGCGTCTTTAGGCCCCCTCCCCCCTTCCCCCCCCCCCGAGCAGCGCCAAAAACTTTTGAGCCGCGGAACCCCGGAAGACAAGGACTCACGGGAGGGTCAGTGGGAGACTCTGCTCACCTGGTTTTGCTGGAAGGTTCTCAAAGGAAAAACTGCCAGTGAGTTGATCCATTTGGTTGCACTTCTCACCAGGTTTTGCTGGAAGGCTCTGGGCAAGGAAAAGCTGCCAGTGAGTTGATCAAGGAATTTGTTCGGTGGCAACGTCAGACTGTCACCCGTGCGCAACACCCCTCCAGCCCTATCCGAAACCATAGCCTATTAAAGTGGTTGCCGGTCCACTGGCAAAAGGCAGACACCCCATTTGTAAGATAAGCGGGCTCCGGAACGTTGGATCGAATCAAAGGTTATGCACCCGGTTTGAAATCGATAATAATAAGAACAGTGTAGTTTCTGACATTGATGTTATGTTATTTGCTATGTTTTATTGACCAGTGGCATTGATGTGGTATTCGTGTTGGTTGTCTTATTTATTTTATTTATGCTATGTTCTATCTGTTCTGGCATTTGGCGTATTCAAGCTGCGAGGGTGAAGTTCCGATACACCAAGCGTTCGCATAAAGCTTTCGCATTTGTGTCCATAGTCGCATGTGAAAACCGCCTTGGTGTACGGTTTCTTGTTGGTGCTATGCATCCGAAAAGGCACAAAAAGGGCCGGCCCGGAAGATGGCACGAACCGATGGCAAATGTGTATGTACTTACGAATAGAAGGGACGAAGACGTTCACCTCTCTACTTGAAGTTGTAGCCTATAGCTTTGAGCTACCTGGGCAAAAAGAAAAACAGCGCAAAAACAAACTGGAGAGCGATGCAAATAAGCTATTGGGAACCCCGGATTAGTAAATGCTGGTTGATTGGCGTGGGAGGGTGGCCCATTTTTAGTGGGGGTTCATCACTTTTGGAGGGGAGCACCCCCCTATGAATAGGAGGGGTGTATTGATTCGGGGTCAATATTTCAAGGGGCTAGATAATTACACACAGTCTTACCTTGTAATCCTGATTTTATGTGGCTTTCAAGCCCCACCACCCCATTCTAATTATCTATGCCCTGAAAATACAGAGACCAAGAGTAAGTCTGAGTAAGTAATCATTTAGCATACCCAACCAACAGGTAGCGCACATTCGGAGTTCCCACGAAAAATAAAAGGTCGCGACTGCTCGCGACACAGATCCATCTTAGGCGCCACGAAGGACCAAATCCAGAGGGCGGAGGACCAATAGTTCTCAGCCTGGCACGTGTTCCAATCACTACCACATGGACATTAAACACATGGGTCATAATCAAAACCCAGTATGAAAACGGTCGATCCCAGAACCGTGCTTCTCAAATGAAGAAGGCGGACTTCCGCAGCTAGACAAGGTTGGGATTGCCCCTAACCGTCATCTGCCCGGGTTTGGCAGGTTCTTATGACATTGAGATGACTAGCTTTGCGCTGACTCGCTTTGCCAACAATGCCTCTGGCAAAAGGAAGAACACTACTGTGGACGGACGAAATCCGTTCGCACCACTTTGAAACCATGGGAAACCATAGTTTGTTGGTATTTTCAGGGGAATCCAAACATTCCAGGGTCTCTTCGGTGGTGCGAAATGGATTTCGCCCATCCACACTATGGCAGCCTTTTTCAGCTTTCCTTGAAACCAATGGCTCAAGCTGGAGGACTCGAGGACGATTTGGGATACGAAGACCAGAAACAAGATCTACAGATCAGACCCACAAGGAGCTGACGGGAAAACTCACCGTGAACTCCTGAACTCGCCCGCCCTTCCGCATTTGAAGTCTGCAGAACACATGTGGAGAGTGAAAGTCTGATTTGTGGGTCGCCCATCCGCAGTTCGCAGGTCTTAACTTGCTTTGGCACACCCAGTGAAAATAAACGGGCCGGGCTCAAATCTCGCGAAGACCCCCCCCCACCGCCTGCAGATGGTTTCCCTTTGAAGTTAAGCAAAAGCTTCTTTCTCTCACGTGCAGTGTGTCTGAAGCACAACCGCATCCCTGGCATGTCCAATTTGCCTGGGACGAACCTAAGAAGCGAAACTCGAGATGTCGTCAGGTCAAAGACCGGCACTGAAATCCAGAAAAAGCAAAGATCCACATGGGTGTCTTTCTTTAGGAAACCACCAAAAACTGCCTCTTTTTCTGCTGGTGTCCCTTTCAACCAACCTTGAACAGGGTACCCGGAAAAAGACACACCCGCCTATTTTCTTGTAGGAAAGAAAAAGCGATCCGAGATGAGCCCGGCAACGAAAAGCCATCGGCATGAGAGCCATCCGGCTTTTCAGGGTCTGGCTTGGCGCGGTCTGAAAATCTCCCAGCTCAACCGATTAACTTTAATGGAAGGAATCCAGGAAACCAAAGGCCCTAGTTGAGCGTTCGACTAACCTAGTAGGTCAAAATCATGGCTACAAGGCGTCAAGCCTGGGCAAAGTGCAGGTGTCAGAAGCACATACCAAACACTCAGGGGCCCAAATACACCCTCTAGGTCCTCCAGATTTCAGAGGCTAGAATAAGTTGGTACCCTTTTTTTTCTGTGTAGGGGAACCGAATCTCCCAACCAAAGGGGTCATTGGACCCCTTTGGCACGACTGGCTGGGGGACCTGGCTAACGGAAGGAATCCAGGACACCAGCCGAGCCTCGAGACCCGCCACTCCAAGATTTCCCAAAACCCACTCCGCCCACTTCACTTCGCCTGCAGGCCGTCCCAGTCGTACTCCCCCTCTTGCGCCATGCGGAAGATGTATCCTGAAGGGCCGGCTGGTCTTCTTGGCTGTTGAAAGGCCACCCCTACGGAGATTTGAAGCAGGTGTTGTGGACTTAGGTGCTCTGCAGCGAATATCTGGTTGATGAATTCTCGTGTGTTGTATGCAACTGGTTTTACGTTTGGTTCATCTCCGTTTATGATTGGAATATGTGCGTAGCGCCGCCTTCAGGTAGGCGGGTTCTGCAAGCACTAGCGGCACCATCTTCGAATCGCTTGGTTCATGTTTGCCGGGGTACGGCTCGGGATCGGATACTCTCGAACTGTTGACACGAAGGGCTGGTGATTTCAGCTGCCAAGCCATTGGCCCTTGTGGTTGGTGGGTAGAGCCAAAGTCAACAGTATCCCCCAACATTGTCATGTCTGTGTAGTTCTACAGTTTCTAAAGGAGAGCCAAAAGGAGCCTCCCACCCATTTTTGATTCCCCTAAAACGAAGACACACACGCTGGATTTTGATGAGTATCCCCGATTTTCCCTACGGTTCTCTTGGTTGGTTTGTGCCCCGGCGAGTGCCAGCATGGTTTCAAAGGTCACCTACATTTGCCATGAGATGGTTAGGCGTACTTGGTTTACTTGTAATATTTGGAGCATCCACCGGACAACCGTTTCTCATATATTTCTTCTGACCATATCAGATTGTCTCCTCTGAGGACAGCCGATTTTGCGGGAATCCAGCATGCTGTGTTCTCGTCCAGGTCGCACCATATCACGAGGTCTGGGGCGTGTAAAAAAACGGGGCCAGAGAGGCTGGCAAAGCACCCGACTCAGAAGCTGGCATGAAATGGGGCCCAAAAGTACCAAAAAGGCGGTACCCAACTCCAAAACAAGAAAGGGGTACGGGCGCCAACTCCAAGACAAGAACGCGGTACCCTTCAAAAGCACCAAAAAGAGGGTACCAGCTCCAAAACAAGAAAGGGGTACCCTTCAAACCCACCAAAAAGGGCGGCACCCATGCTTCTTTCTGGGGCGTTTTTTTCCCAAAGCCTGCCGGCGCTCTTTTCCGGTCCTAGGGAGCCCCAGAAGGTAGAGACATCCTGCGCGAGCAGAAGCCCGGGCCGAAGAAATCTGGGGGGCTCGGCGTGTTTCTTTTTGGTGGTGTTTATCTCTGTTTTGTTTGTTTTGCTTTTTGTTGTTGTGGTGTGTCTTTCTCTCTTTTTGGCTTTTTGGTGTTTGTTTGATCTTTCCTTTTTTCTTGGTTTTTTGGTTTGCTTTTTGTTTGGTGTGTTCTTCTTTCCCGGTACCCCCTTTCTTAGTGGTAAAAGGGAAAGCCGAAGCTGGAAAGCCGAAGCCATTTTGGGGGGAGTCCAAAAAAAAACACCCAAATATGAACCACCAGACCTCAGATTTTGGTCATTGTTTCCGTTTACCCGGGCAACTTCGGACCCCCTTCTTCCCTACGTTGACCGTTTACCGTTGTTTTGTGGTGTGTGGTTGGTTTACTTGCAATTTGGGCGTGGGTCAAACACAGGTACCCCAACTGGGGCATCCACCGGAACAAATGCCCATCCCCATTTGGTTTCCTTGGAGAATATCCGGTTTGTTCCATTTGTGAACAGGGGAGACGAGCTCCAAGTCTCCATTTCCCATGTGCACACGGCTCAAAAAGCTGCAGGGGAAAATGCCCGGAGTGGGCTCTGAGAGTCGATGTCGATTGTTGGAGGTTGCGTGCGGTTTCTGGCGGAATAGCTCCTTCGTGGCTCCCAACCATCCCCTTAGCGTTTTAGCCGTTTAGTGTTTAGTGGTGGTTTCCATTTAACCCACTAAAAGTAAACTTTTAGCAGGGGATCTGAGGGCCGCCCAGTCTCATGATGTTGGCTCGGTCTTTTCTGTTGGGCTTGGTACGGGAAACCAAAACAAAAAACCACTCACATGAGTGGATTGGCCCCACAAAGTACCCAAACTTTCAGCTTACCGCAAACATTGCGACCAAACCCCAAAAAAGCCAAACCCAAACTGTCGTCCCTTCCAAACCCGGGGGGCTCAATTTGAAGCCTCACTTTGAAGCCCCGAGTTCTATTGGAGCCGTCCCAGTTCACGGCCCTACTTTGAGCTCAGTGAAAGCCCCGATTTGACGACCCACTTCCTTGAGTGCTGTAGATCCCCCAGCACAAAGTTTGACTTCTTGCTGGTTAAAAGGAAATATGAGGGGAATCCAAAAAGTTAAAGTCTAAAGATCCAACCCAACAGTAGAGCTTCGACCCCCTCCGGCATCCCTCGCCTCAATGCGCCTGCCGAAGAGCAGGGTGGCGCTGGTCCTTGGCTTAAGGCCACGAGAAAGCGCGCGGGCTGACATGGCTGTGGGTCAAAAACATGGAAACCAAAATGGCACCTTGGTAAATGGAACCAAAACCTAAAACCTGCGGTTTGCCCTAGCTCTGAAATTTTTAGCCACACCCAGTGGGCATTTTGTTTGTTTGTTTTTCTTTTCAGAATGTGTTTTTTGTGTTTTGTTTTGTTTTCTTTTTGTTTGGTCTTTTTGGAGAGTGCTGATTTGATGTATTTGATTGATTTGATGTCTTTGACCCCCTACTTCCATCGGTTTGGTGGTTGGATGGAACCCAGCTGGGCCGTCTTTGCACGCACTGCCGCTCTCGGCCATTGGGCCCATGCGCCGCTCGCTCGCTCGCTCGCTCGCTCGCTCGCTCCGCCCGTTCCAGCCATGGCACACGTAGATCAAGATGGTTGGAATGAAAACCACGATGAAGTGGATGATCTCCTGGGCGCGATGAGGGGCGATGCCGATGGAAAAGCAACATGGGCCATGCCCCCCCGCCCAAAAAAAAGAAGAAAGAAAAAGCAAAAAAGAAAGAAAGAAAGAAAGAAAGAAAGAAAGAAAGAAAGAAAGAAAGAAAGAAAGAAAGAAAGAAACACAGGGCTGCGATTGGTTGACCAATCCCATTTCTCGGCTCATTGGCAAGCGGCAAGTGCTTGCGCCCAGGTCGGCAAAATAACCTTTCTTTCAAAAACAAGGTGGCTTGTGGACAAGATGATCAGTGAACTAGAACTGTTTGTTGTGGGTGGGCCCGGAGGGAAATGGCTCCAAGAGGCTTCCTTCTTGTCCATCAAAACACAAAAACATGGGGCAGCAAAAAAAAAAAACGTCCCCCCCAGGTCTCAACCAGGGCCTACACCTCGGCACCAACCGCATTTGAGGCAGGGGCGCTAATCGAAACAAGCGCTGCAAGTCTGGCTAGCCAAACAATTTGGATAGGAAAAGGGGCGGTGTTGCCTGGGTTTAGGGGGGAGGGGAGGGCCCCAGCTCCATGCAAGTATACTGGGGTTTCTTCATCTGTCAGCATGGCTCGGAGTAAATCCGACAAGTGACCTCGTGCAAAAGGAGAAGAAACACCATGGAGCCGAATGGGCAGCCCCAAACTCCCGCACTTTCTCCCAAAAGCCTCGCATCCTTCGATGTGTTTTTCCTCTACCAAGAACCCCACAGCAACCCCGAAGTGAAATGACTCGTGGCCGATGGTGCCGTCGGAACCCGAAGGCTTGCAATCAGTTCCCACACGTCTCCGGTCAATTTTTATCCCGTGCACATGCGTTGCCCCTAGCACGCACCAAGCTATGACGACTCCTTTTGACCTCGGCGTCTGTTCAGGGTCCCTACCGCGCACCATGCTATGACGGCTCCTTCTGACCTCCGCGTCTGTTCAGGGTCCCTACCGCGCACCATGCTATGACGGCTCCTTGTGACCTCGGCGTCTGTTCAGGGTCCCTACCGCGCACCATGCTATGACGGCTCCTTCTGACCTCGGCGTATGTTCAGGGTCCTACCTCGCACCATGCTATGACGGCTCCTTTTGACCTCGGCGTCTGTTCAGGGTCCCTACCGCGCACCATGCTATGACGGCTCCTTGTGACCTCGGCGTCTGTTCAGGGTCCCTACCGCGCACCATGCTATGACGGCTCCTTCTGACCTCGGCGTATGTTCAGGGTCCTACCTCGCACCATGCTATGACGGCTCCTTTTGACCTCGGCGTCTGTTCAGGGTCCCTACCGCGCACCATGCTATGACGGCTCCTTGTGACCTCGGCGTCTGTTCAGGGTCCCTACCGCGCACCATGCTATGACGGCTCCTTCTGACCTCGGCGTATGTTCAGGGTCCTACCTCGCACCATGCTATGACGGCTCCTTTTGACCTCGGCGTCTGTTCAGGGTCCCTACCGCGCACCATGCTATGACGGCTCCTTGTTCACCTCGGCGTCTGTTCAGGGTCCCTACCGCGCACCATGCTATGACGGCTCCTTTTGACCTCGTCTGTTCAGGGTCCCTTCGGACCTCGTCGTCTGTTCAGGGTCCCTACCGCGCACCATGCTACGATGTCCCTACCGCGCACCCTGCTATGACGGCTCCTTTTGACCTTGGCGTCTGTTCAGGGTCCCTTCCGCGCACCATGCTGTGTCGGCTCCTTTTGACCTCAGCGTCTGTTCAGGGTCCCTACCGCGCACCATGCTATGACGGCTCCTTTTAACCTCGGCGTCTGTTCAGGGTCCCTACCGTGCACCATGCTATGACGGCTCCTTTTGACCTCGTCATCTGTTCAGGGTCCCTACCGCGCACCATGCTACGATGTCCCTACCGCGCATGCTATGACGGCTCCTTTTAACCTCGGCCTCTGTTCAGGGTCCCTACCGCGCACCATGCTATGACGACTCCTTTTGACCTCGGCGTCTGTTCAGGGTCTCTACCGCGCACCATGCTATGACGGCTCCTTTTGACCTCGGCGTCTGTTCAGGGTCCCTACCGCGCACCATGCTATGCCGGCTCCTTCTGACCTCGTCGTCTGTTCAGGGTCCCTACCGCGCGCCATGCTATGACGGCTCCTTTTGACCTCGTCGTCTGTTCAGGGTCCCTACCGCGCACCATGCTATGACGGCTGCTTTTGACCTCGGCGTCTGTTCAGGGTCCCTACCGCGCACCATGCTATGACGGCTCCTTCTGACCTCGGCGTCTGTTCAGGGTCCCTACCGCGCACCATGCTATGACGGCTCCTTCTGACCTCGGCGTCTGTTCAGGGTCCCTACCGCGCACCATGCTATGACGGCTCCTTTGACCTCGTCGTCTGTTCAGGGTCCCTACCGCGCACCATGCTATACCTTCAGGGTCCCTTATGACGGCTCCTTTTGACCTCGCGTCTGTTCAGGGTCCCTACCGCGCACCATGCTATGACGGCTCCTTTTGACCTCGGTGTCTGTTCAGGGTCCCTACCGCGTACCATGCTATGACGGCTCTTTTGACCTCGGCGTCTGTTCAGGGTCCCTTCCGCGCACCATGCTGTGTCGGCTCCTTTTGACCTCAGCGTCTGTTCAGGGTCCCTACCGCGCACCATGCTATGACGGCTCCTTTTGACCACCATGCTATGACGGCTCCTTTTACCTCGTCGTCTGTTCAGGGTCCCTACCGCGCACCATGCTACGATGTCCCTACCGCGCACCCTGCTATGACGGCTCCTTTTGACCTTGGTGTCTGTTCAGGGTCCCTTCCGCGCACCATGCTGTGTCGGCTCCTTTTGACCTCAGCGTCTGTTCAGGGTCCCTACCGCGCACCATGCTATGACGGCTCCTTTTAACCTCGGCGTCTGTTCAGGGTCCCTACCGTGCACCATGCTATGACGGCTCCTTTTGACCTCGTCGTCTGTTCAGGGTCCCTACCGCGCACCATGCTACGATGTCCCTACCGCGCACCATGCTATGACGGCTCCTTTTAACCTCGGCCTCTGTTCAGGGTCCCTACCGCGCACCATGCTATGACGACTCCTTTTGACCTCGGCGTCTGTTCAGGGTCTCTACCGCGCACCATGCTATGACGGCTCCTTTTGACCTCGGCGTCTGTTCAGGGTCCCTACCGCGCACCATGCTATGACGGCTCCTTCTGACCTCGTCGTCTGTTCAGGGTCCCTACCGCGCGCCATGCTATGACGGCTCCTTTTGACCTCGTCGTCTGTTCAGGGTCCCTACCGCGCACCATGCTATGATGACGGCTGCTTTTGACCTCGGCGTCTGTTCAGGGTCCCTACCGCGCACCATGCTATGACGACTCCTGTTGACCTCGGCGTCTGTTCAGGGTCCCTACCGCGCACCATGCTATGACGACTCCTTCTGCCCTCGGCGTCTGTTCAGGGTCCCTACCGCGCACCATGCTATGACGGCCCCTTCTGACCTCGGCGTCTGTTCTGGGTTTCCCCAACGGAAAGGGTAGAAAGTTGGCCGCAAGAAGAAGCGGACCGTCCACCCTCCCTCCAACGTTTTCGTGGCACCTGACAGGGAAATGGTCCCAGCAGGAAAATTACCCCAAAAAAGTGTAAAAGGCCGCCACGGCGACCCGGCCTCGGAATATCTTTCACTGACCGAGGCGCCACCATCAGGGAGCCCAGGGTCTTGATGATGATCGCCAGCTGCGGCTGAGCCTGGAAGTTCACGAAGAACCGGAACCTCCCAGCGTGAGGGGCTTGGCGTGCGGGGCGTGGGCGGGGCGTGGGCTTACGGGGGGTGCTTGTCCGTGGTTTTGGGGATTTTTTGTGATTTTCTGGTTTTTGAAAAACCTCCACCCATATGAACAAACAGGGGTTTACTACTCCGGGGTCAACACTACGTCGGTTTTGCGGGGCTTGCAACGATTCAACGGGCCTGTGGTAAGTAGAATCAACAGGCCTCTCGTAGAATCGCCCCAAAGCTGTGATACCGAAAAGTAGCATTGTCCGTTCACACGCTTTAGCAGTTTTTAAGTGAAGCTATCGCCTTTTGATCAGAATGAGACATGGAATGATCCCGAGAATCCCACTGGCTTCCTTTAAGAGAATCCCATTTCTTCCGGTTCATTCCCACATTCCCTTATCACACCAGCAAGTTTAGGTAGAATCGCCCCAAATCTGTGATACCGAAGTAGCATTGTTCGCAATCTGTGATACCGTAGGATTCGCCAAGGTGGAAGGCTTGTCCAGTTTGTCACATGAGAGTGCCTGCTGACTGCAAATCCTTCCAGACGGTCTTTTTTCCTGGTGGTGTCCCTTTGCACCACAAAAAAGGTTCCGAGCAAAACCGACATAATGTTGACCCCGGAGTAATAAACCCCCGTTTGCTCATATGGGGGTGGAGGCCCCTCCAAAAGTGAGAAATCCCCAAAACCAGGGACAAGCACCCCCATATTAACAAACAGGGGTTGAGTAATCCCCGGTTACCCCCGGTGAACATCCCAATCCCCACTAAAATAGGTTCTAAAATGGAGGGTGCACCTACCCCAAAATGGGATTCCATTGGTGTTGACCCACGGCCATGTCCGTTTTGGGTGCTCGCATGCCGCCGCTTCCGCACGAGGCGCGTGAGGATCAGCGTGTAGTTCGCCGCCAGCAGCCGCAGGCTCAAGATGTCGTCCGCCGCGTTGGCGCCTGACGTGAAAACCACCGGCCCGGGAGCCCGGGGGAGCGCAAGCTTTCCGTCCTCCAGATTTGAGAGGTTAGCATAAGGGTACCAACTTCTTTTTCTGTAGTTTACTTTAATAGGGGAACCGAATCTCCCAACCAAAAAAGTTGGTACAAGAGCACCTAGCTGGGGGACCTAGTTCCAGATCCAGGGTGTGTTTGAAGAGTGATCCCCCCATAGGGGGGGAGGGTTGTGGGGGCCACGTCCCCAATTCTATTTCGCTGCCTTCCCCATGAAAGGGAAAATACAACCATAAAAGGACCTCCAGGGATCACTCCCGTCCCCCATTAAGTGGGTGTGGTTGAAGAGGGCAATGATTCAGAACTGGGTCGTCTGAATCTGGTGAAGAGACGAATGTAAATGACGCTATCTGACAAAGCCCTTCATCTTGGAGGTAAATGTGGCAATGGAAGGGACCGTGTGTTTTTGAAGCCATGCTCTATGATTGGCTCAGTCTCTTGAGATCTACCGTGCCGTACACAAATGGCACTTGCTCCTCAGAGGCAGAGGCTGGCGATTTGCGTCCCAATCATATAGCACCAGAAGAAGGTGGGTTTCCCCCGGGTGGGGGGGGGTGCTTCATCCTCACCTAGAAGGACCTGCAACCCAAAAGCCAACACTTCTGGGCTCCAAAAACAGCTGAAACTAAGCATTAGATATCCTTCCTCCCACTTTTCTTCGCATTTCTGGGGAGGGAAAACCGGGAAGATCCTGGTCCTATTGAAACGGGACCTCCTCCGAAACGCCGGAGAAAGTTTCCACCCGCTTCGTCGGACTCGGACCTGTGTCAAAGAGCTTCTCGATCACCTAGGATCGGCCGATCTAGCCGATCTGCGGAACCGGGGGCAGTGCACCACCCTAAGGCCGGTGGATGCCCTACTACGTCCTCCAGCAGAGAGGTTAGAATAAGGGTACCACCCCAAAAAAAGGGGAGAGAAGGGCACTACTGCGGGAACCCAGCCTAAATATTGCAAGTAAATCAAGCACACTAACCACAAAACGGCAGTAAATGGCGGTAGATTAGAGGCTTGCCTTGTTCTCTTACCTGCATTTGTTTCTCCGGGCATCCAGCGTTTTTAGGGTCTGAATAATCATTGCAATTGGAACTTGGGGTATGTGAATTCACCACGTCCTAAAAATCAGATGGATGTTGAGCGAAAAGGCATAACGGTAACGTCCCTATCTGGAAGGCTGAGGTGATTGAAAACTGCTTGCAAAAAGGGGGGCCCGTTTTGTCAATCCCCAAACAACCAACCAAACAAAAAAACAAACAGACAAGCAGCCAGCAACCTGTTTTGGCCTCCCTTTTATCTTCTGGCTTATGGGCCCGAAGGGCAAGTTGGGGGTCGAACAAACAGACAAGTTGTGGGTCAAAAATATGTACCCAAAATGGGTTGCCCTGGTAAATGGAAACAGGGACCAAAACCTGCGGTCCGCTGGTGGTTTAATTTTGACCCATACCCAAATGGGTTCCTTTCCGATGCTACACACATTGTCCTCTGGTGCAACCTGGAACCCCTGAAGGAAGAACCTACTTAGAGTCATAGAAGGCACAACAAGCACATATGCTCCTTTCTGGGGGACCCTAGAGTTCACCTTGTTGGAATAGGTAAAAAGAATAAAACCACTTCAGTGTACCCTGGACCTGAGACCAACAAGCTGGTTCGGGCCCCGGGCCCGTTTTTTCAGTGCCGCATCCAAATTTCACGCCGCGCGACAGCTTGGTTGGCGTCCCGGATGTTCCACCCGTAGCCCCTGATGTCCGTCATGATGTCCGTCATCAGGCCCTGTGCCGGGCACAACCCAAAACTCATGATGGTAACTTCTCTTGAAATGAGGGAACCCTCAACATGGCTTTGGCTTTACTTTTGGCTTTCCTTAAAAAAAAAAAAAAAAAAAATGCTAGGGCAACCTCAAAAAAAAAACGCCCAACTCGCATTGAAAGGAAGCCCGGGTTCTGCAAAGGAAACCTACCTGCCCAACAAACGGCTACTGTTCATCGCTTTTCTGGCAAAGGATCGTTTTGCCTCATTGGTGTCGAAATTTCAGCCCTGGTGCTACAAAAACCGTTCTAGCGTGCGGAGCGGACCGAACGCTGTGTTGCCGACATCGCTTGCCAGGAATCCCTCAACCGCGTCAATTTTGCGTAATCCGTTATTTTTGCATCACTCATGGCCGTGCCTAGATTCGGAGTTGGAAATACTGTTCGCAAAAAGATCAAACTGTTCATGAACCATTTGCAAACCGTTCACGAACCATTCGCATGTCGTAAATATTACGTAAACAGGAAAGTGTGTTGCAAATTCAGCTTGGTGTTCGAAGAACTGTTCTGGTGCTCAACAAAACGCACCGGTGCTCAAGTGTTCGGGAAAAAAGGCAAAAACACAAAAGAGAAACGGTGCTTCTCCAAGTAGATAGGAGCCCCAGGTATTTGGAGGGCGCATTGACGCCAGATCCGGGGCTTTCGATCGGGCAAGGGGAAAACGACCAAAGGCTTCGGAAGATCCAAGTCATGCTCACTTCGGATTATTCCGGAGGTCCATACCAATCCGAGGAATCCTCTCTATGAATCAATTTCCCCCATTCCTGATTTACATGGGCTTCCAGAGCAAAGTTCACATGTTCTCCCTTGTCGGAGCCTCAAGCCGCAAAATGGCAAGGCCTGCAAAAGTTTGCGAAAAAAAGCAGCTGATGGCTCGCCTTTGGCCAAAAACTGCCGGGAGCAAAAATGGCAATAATTCTCAAACCGGAAACGAGAAGCCGCGGATAACGTGTCTTTCTGGGTGAAATTGCTGGGATTAGGGATCGGTGAGCTCGTTACTTGCCCAGGCCTACGCACAGCAAGAGATATACAAGGTGCTGAAGGATTGCATACGTCAAAATTGACCTATCACGAAGCTTGGTTCAATAGTGCCCCACAAACCCTCTCAAATAGTTCAGGCCCTTGTCCTTGCTGGTTCTCAGCCGGGAATGAGAAACAATCGCTCATGGCTTCCTTTAAGGGACTGGGTTCATTCCTACCAACAGGGACGGTCATTCCCTACCTATCGCACCAGCAAGTTGTACCCCTCTCCAATTCAAGAAAGCTCGTTGCTGTGTTCATGGACCATTCCCAGAATGGAGACCCGGCGCCTATACGGGCACCCGTACAAGAGGATCTAGCACAAAATGTCAGCCGAACCGCCTCCTAACAAAACCCTGGGCTGGTCCGCAGATCTGATCCCCTGCTAAAAGTGTCTAACTTGTGGGTTAAAATCCTAAACCCAACCGCCTTTCACCAACTAAAAATATCAAACAAGCTAAGGAACCGCACGGCTGGGAACCGTCTCCAACAAAAAAAAGGCTGGATTCGTCGAAGCCGTCAAAGGGCTCATGCTTTACGGATTTTCAAGCACCCTCCAGGCCTTTGGAAGACGTGGTTCCATGTTACAGGATCGGCCTTCTGCCAGTAGAGAGGTTAGAATAAGGGTACCAACTTTTTTCGGTTTTGTCTATTTCAGTACGGGAACCGAATCTCCTCCCAAAAAAGGGGTGAGAAAGGGCACTGCTGGGGGACCTAGACTTGATCAACTCAGGCTAGTCACCTGGAAGAGGCCCTCAGCTTGAATTCATAGCCTTCACTAGGCTGGAATTAGGACCCTAGCAAAAAATATCTTTGGTGGAAGTTCAGAGCCGGGCTATGCTTCGAAGCTGTCAATGCCCCGGGGCATTTGTCAAACCCGATGAACGGATTGTGGTTTCGCCATTTCCACTAACCCTGAATTCTGCATGCGTCTCGTGTTTTTTGGCGCATGTTCGGAGCCTCGCGCTTGAAGTTTGTTTTTCTCGCGAGTCAGAGTGCCAATTGAGTCCGGGAGAAGGAGCTCACGCTCAACCGATAAACCGCTGGTTGGTTGATGAGTGTCCCAAATCAATGTTGACCCAGGATTAATACACCCGTCCATTATTAGGGGTGTGTTCCCTCCAAAAGTGATGAATCCCCACTAAAAGGGGACACCCCCTATAAATCAACCAGGGGTTTATTAATCCGGGGTCAAAACAAAAAAAGGGTTCCTAGTCACCAAACAATTGCATCCTCCAGGTTTCATTTTGGATGTTGTCCAGATTCATAACGAGGGTTTGAGGTATATTTACTTGTAATATGTAAAATGCATCCTAAGTCTACCCCAGCTACAAAATGTTACAAACTTTGACCCACACGCCCAGGTATAGAAGGTATATCTACTGGTAAAATGTAAAGTGTTCCCTACAAAAATTCTCGAGCGCCGCCTTGGTGCGGTACACCGCGTAGAACTGGTAGCCTCGGAGTTTCCGGCTGGCTCGAATCTGGGTAAGAACCTGGCAATAACCCCACACCAAACAGGACTCCAAGGAAAAACAATTCACGGATGGAGTCCGTTGGTCGGGAAAAAACAACAAGTCTCATCTAACTGGCGGTTGCAGCCGGTGGTTTCGAGGTCTGCAAATTGGGGGCGGTTTCCCATTTATCCACAAGAACCATGGGTTCAAATCCAAATTCCCAGTTTCCATCGGGCTCCAAACCAACTAACAGATTCTTGGGGGTCTGTTGCAGCGCAAATCCCCAACCCCCAAGAAAATCGTCTTTTGACCACGACACACCTTGGGAGGGGGGGGGGGCAAAGGGGGGAAAGGGGGGCAAGGGGGGAAAGGGCGGGGAAAGGGGGGAAAGGGGGGGGGAAAGGCGGGGAAGGGGGAAGACCGTAATTTGCCTTGCTTAGGGCATCCACCGTGGCAAAGCCTCTTTCGTGACCACACTCGTCATCAGTGTGCTTTAGACGCGGGTTTCCCCTAGCGCCGAAGCAAAAATTAAATTGCGGTTCGATCTTCTTTGGGTGGTACCCCTTTTTGGATGTGTGGAACAAGGGAAACCGACAGGAAAACCTATTTGTTGGGATCCCCCCCCCCCAAAAAAAAAAAAAAACATGTCAATGTGGTTGTGGGGTACTGAAAAAACCAGGTTGAACCATGATGATACAAGTCAAATAGGAAGTAAGAAGGGCCTTACGTTGCATGGATCCAATTTCAGAGGTATCTTTGCAGGGTGCTGGACGGCTTGTTCGTTGCGAAGCCAGACAGTTGCTCTAAAGGTCGCACAAACGACCCATCTTGACCCATCTTTCTAGTGGATTTGTGTGGGAAAACCCCTGTTTTTGGGTTGAGGCTAAAGGGGAGACCCTCCAAAAGGAAAGGTGCACCCCTTTGGTGTCTGGTCGGATTTCCGTGACGCCTCTACGTCATCTGACCAAAGGTTGCCTTGCAAAACGCCAATAGTGCGAACCCATGATTCATGAAATCCAGGTCTATGGGGGGATGTGCACTGACTCATCCCAAGTCAACATTACCAAGGAGGCAGTGCAGGGATCAAAACCGCCAGTTATGTTGGTGTGCGCATTTCACAGAGGATCAAAGTGGTTGCCCCGACCTAGAAAGTTAGAGATACTACCTGGTCAATGGCATGCTGGTGATAATTGTTTTGCATGTGCAAGTTGTAAATGTGTAAGATCATGTCAGAGGTTGAGTGCGATTGATTGTGGGTGTGATTGTGAGTGTCATCTTCAAGGTGAGCGTGCGTGTGAGTGTACGATTGTGCCCACCTGCGATTCTCTCAATGCGTGCGTGCGCACATACTTCTGGCTCTCTGCACGTTGTGGTTCATATGTACGCTCAGTCTTATGCTCGTGCGGTTGTGGGGCTGTGTGCGCGCGATGCGCATGCGTCGTGCGCGGGGAAGCGCCTGTGGGCCTGTGGGCATGGGTGCGTGGGTGTGTGTCTGTGTATGTGGGCGGGTGGGCATGCCTGAGTATGCAAGCGACTGGTCACTAATCACTATATCTACAACATTTCCTGATGGTAGCTTGGTGCTGCCCATTGTCATTTCCTTGACTGCAGTACAGGAAAGTATGGACGGTTGCTCGTGAGTGAGAGAGAGAGAGAGACCAAAGGGAGTGGAGCGTGCCACTCTCAAAAGCTCCAGGTGCCAGGCAAAAGAAGATTCCTCCGGCAATCACCACCAACTCCAGCAGTGTCCTGTCGGCGCGCGATGTGGGAACGAATCCTTTCTCTGATACCAAAGCGGTTGATTCCTATTCCGCCTGGCTACCTTGTCACTTTGAAGGAGGTCCCCTTGCTATCGCAGGGAGTGGAGAGTAGGGAGTGGGGAGCGGGGAGTGGAGAGGGAGGGGAGTGGAGCGGAGCGGAGCGGAGCGGAGCGGAGCGGAGCGGAGCGGAGTGGAGTGGAGGGGAGGGGAGGGGTGGGGTGGGATTCCCCCCGGCCCTTGAACCATGCCTTCTCATTGTAAAAAAAGCAAAGCGCGTTCTGTTTGGCTGGACCCCGAAAACACCTCCCGAAAAATGAGCGACCCGCGAGGGCCACTTGCAAGAACATGACTTGGGCCTGGGAGATACGGCTTCTTTGACGGAAGGAAAGCGCACACGCGTTTGTTTTCACTTACTCGTCCCCCGTTAGGCACTCACCGGGCGCGGTTGAGAGTTTCCCAAATAACATGTTCCAGAAGAAAGGGCAGGTATTGATGCCAAGGGGAAACCAGGAAAAAAGAGGCACGACTGAATGCATAGGGGTCCTTTTGGAAAAAGGGTGGCCCCGGTAAATGGAATAAAACCAATCTAAAACAGTGCCATCTATATCTTATCAAACTAACCGATCAACAGGACACCATGACTGGATGTCTAGGGTTGGTCCAGGGTAGGGATGACTAAAGGCTGGTATATGGGAGCGCAGGTCTCGGGGTCTGTGCGGAGCGGGAGGGCAAAACCAAAACAGTACCTGAACTGTGCCACACGCCACAAACCAGCACTGGTGTGCAAGTTTGTTGGCTTTGCGTCACCCAACACATCAACCCGCATCAAGTCTAGAAAATGCAGACCCACCTCATCAAACAAGTAGTCTTCATCTTCCTCAAGCAAGGAATACCCAACTAGCCCAAATCCTTGCAATCAGGAGAACCATATTGGCTTAAGCCAAACTACCACAAACTGCATGCAGCAACTTTCCGGAAATGGAGGCAAAAGAGTTTGGCCGCAAACACGAATATGTCATTGCAAAAGGCCATTGGGTGTGTCCTGTTTGGGGGGACCCCCAACAAATTGTGGTTGTCCTTTTCGTTCCATGTAAAACCCCAGAAAAAAAAAAAGTTTACCTTCCACAAGAGCCAGAAATTTCAAAAACAAATCCCAAACCAGAAAAAATACCTTCTACAAGAGCCAGACATTTCAAATTCAAATCCAAAACCAATCAAGGGCGGCACGTACCAACCCAACTGTGCTGACCATTGGGAACCGCGAAAAACTGGGCGGCTTTCCTCGAGGCGTGCCCTCAAAATAACCCACACCCAGAGATAAAAACGTATTAACTCCAGGGCTGTGGGAAATGGAATCCACCTCTGTGATACAAAAAGCGCCTGAAGACAAACCCCCCATTTGAAGAGGGGATTCCCTGGTATCAGAGAAGTGGGGATAAACCCCGAGTGATCCCACAACCCTGATCAATTCTATCCGAATTCCACAACCTGAACTATATGTTCGATATTCCCAAAGGCCTGGGGTGTTGCCTCGGGCCGAACCGACTCCCCCGCTGTTTGGACACCCGAGGATCCTGATGTCCGCGATGTAGGTGACCACCTTTCTGTCCCGAAGCATCCGCCACATGACGATCACCTGCAGGACACCTGAAGGCCGACCGGAATGGGGCACCTCGGTCTTTTTCTTTTGATTTGGACCGTCTTCCCTTTTGGGCTTCCCTTTTAAAAAAAAAAGTGGGGTTGGAGCCCGCAAAAATCATGGGCTTCCCTTTTGGGCTTCCCTTAAAAAAAGGAAAAAAGGGTTGGAGCCCGCAAAAATCATGGGCTTCCCTTTTGGGTTTCCCTTTCAAACCAAAGAAAGGGTTCCCTTCAACTACTGCGTCCTTGCAGAACTCCGATCAGGCTTCTCAGCGATGGTTTGGAGCCCGGCTTGGTGGTTAAGAAGGGGTCTCCCAATTGGCCGTGAGTCAAAACCAATGGGATCCCATTTTGGGGTAGGTGCACCACCCATTTTGGAACCTATTTTAGTGGGGATTGGGATGTCCCATGGCCAATTCACCCTCTACAAAAGCCAGGGGTTCAAATCCAAATTCAAGCCACCAATCCAAACCACCAACTAAGGGTTAGGCCGAAATCCAATGAACTGTGGCCTTGGCATAGACACGCGTACTGACGAAATCCTGCATGGAATGATGATTCCCCTGTAAATGCCAACAAAAGTTATGGTTTCAACCATGATTTCTTAGGTGGTGCGAACGGATCTTGTCCATCCACAGCGGCTTTCAGGTAACCCTTTCTGTTCTGTTTCCTCAGTGGCATGTTGGCTCACCAGAGCGGCGACGGTAGGCTCCTGGGTGGTTTTTGTGAAAATCCATTTGGAAACAGGATGTCCAGGTGAGAGGTGAGCTTGTAACCGCTGTGGTTTTTGTACTGTGCTCGCTTGGGTGTTCTTGCTTCTCTTTTTTTTTTTGGGGGGGGGGGAGGGGGGTTGAGGGGGAAGGTCTTTCTTTTTTAGCGCGCCCACCCTGAAGCTTCCGGGTTGTCGGGAGGTCGCGGCTTCCAAGTTCTCGGGAGGTCCGAACTGAGCCTCGGGGCCTCGGAGCGCTGCACTTTGCCCCGAGTCCAATGACTCGGAACCGCGGAACATTTTTTTCCAGTGGGCGAAGTGGCGGTTGTGCTGCTGGCACCGTGTTTCTTCGCGGCAAGGAGGAGCAACACAAACTAAACCGGCGAGCTGGAAGTTGCCCAGATTCGCGTTTCTCAAAGGGGCGCTTTGGGGGGGGGTGGTCATCCTGATGCGGGATCGGCCCGGAGCCGGGAGCCGCTCGGAGTTCTGGTTAGGGACACAGTAGGGGGTGCTTTGCTTTTCCGTCGGACGCCATCTCCTGATTCAGCCCACTTCTGTAGCTTTGCTCATGGTTGACGTTGGGTGTGGGGAGCAAGAACATAAAAATCTCAGCAGCTGAGTGGTTGAAATGATCTCAACCACTAAACCACCATAAGCTGTAAAACAATGTGTCCCGACAACAACCATGTAATGAAGATTTACAGCTGCTTTGTGGCTTCTAGAAGCCCACAGGACCGGGCCAGGTCAAAAAGAAGCAGTTCAGGGCTAAGGTCAAAAACCCCATGGGCCCAAAGAAGGTCCTCCTTCATATTTTTTGTTGGCCGAACGGGATGACACGGCCTATCTGGACCGCCTTTAGGGATGGCCCTGGAAGCTGACGAACCGTCGTGTTCGTGAAGACGGAAACCAAAAGGAAACCCAGTGACAAAGAAATAAGCTTGCGAAGCATCGTGGTGTTTTTTCCTGTGGCCTTCCTCCTTACACGTCATCCACAAGTTCCATAAGCTTAGGTCCGCCTTTCTGAAACGCCCACAACAAACCCCAAAAACCCGCAAGAAGCGAGTCCGTCCTCCTCTCCGAGCGCGCGCCTTCTCGAAAAACAGGGGCCCCGGCCCACAGCCCCACGCCCACAACAAACCCGAAACCCCACGAAGCGAGTTCTCGCGGCCGGCCCTGCGGCGCCTGTGAAGCACAGGATCAGGAAGAAGAAGCCGTCCACCACCATGCTCAAAGAGTTGGGGAAGACGTCGAAGAAGATCGCCTGGAAGTCCCGGGTGTAGAACACGCCTCAGTCGGAAAAAAACAGAGGCATGTTTTGAGAGGGGGACCCTCTGGGAAGCCCAGTGGATTTTGTTGGTTGATTCTAAAGCGACCTAAAACGGGAAGCCAAGAAGCGGATAGATACAGAACTTCCGAAGAAAAGGACACAGTGTCCCAATTGTTGTGTTAGTTGGATGTTGCTTGATTCGCCAAGTTAGTAGCTGGCGGCAACTGGCCAACGCCACCCACGAATGACTGGCAAAGAAGCGGAAATAAATACGGAACCCATACCAGAGAAAAGTTCGAAAGAGTGTCGCTGGGCAACTGAGACCTTCGGAAAAGGAGGGGGGACCATTTGTTTGGTGTTCAAAAACAGCAACCAAAGCCAAACCGCCATTTTGTCGGGCAGGGGCGCGCGCATTTTGGGACAAACGCAGCACTTGAGACTGAGCACCCAATTTCTTGGCACACAATGCCAACCGCTAGCAAGAGAGGGCGGACAATTCGCCGACCACCGCATAATTTCTCCCGGGGCACTTATTTCTCAGCGTGCACTTGGCGGCGCTTGACAGCACTTAGCAACTTTCAAGCCATCGGCTAGCCTTGCTCAAGCGGAATCCTTGCTCGCCGAAGCCATGAAGTCTATTAGACCCGTACGTCGCGGGTCAGCGCCTTGTTTGGATTAGGGCCAACCCGTAGTGGGATCTTTCCACAGCGACAACTCCATATTGCACTGAACGGTAGTAACCCGTTTGTGTTGTTTTACCAAAGTTGCTTTGGCTGATTTAGCCTCGAAGGATTGACGCCCACATGCAAGTCCCAGGTTCATGCTGGCCGACGTTTAAGGTGTCTGCGTCAAAATTAAGGGCCCCTATAGACAATTGTGCTTGAGTAAAACTCCAGTATCCACCGGTTAAGTCAGGTGAGTAGCGTCTAAACCCAGTTGCGGCCGAAGAGAAATATCAAATCCCTTCCGCGAAGGCTTCCGCGGCATGAAATTCATGAAAGGTTCCTCCCGCGACAGGTTTTCAAGAGGGAATTCCTTCTGCGTCGCTTCCGCGCATTGAGAAATGGGATTGAAGTTCGTTTTCGCTTCCGCAGGTGCAGGAAAACAACAATTCCTTATCTTCACGGCCCTTCCACGAAGCTTCCGCGCGTACATAAATGATAAACACCTTCCGCGAAACTTTCGCGGCACTTCCGCCACCTACGAAAAATCAACAACTTAAAAGAACAGTACTTCCTCCCGAATTCTACTTTCAATTGCAGGAGTTTTAGAACGCCGCTCAGGTGTACTCGCAACCACCTTTGTATGCTTGACTGAGGGCTGTTCTTGTTTCAAGTTTGACTTTTGTTGGATCCCGACAAATGCGGAATCAACAACAAAGTAGCCCTCCAAAACGCACACATGGCACAGACACACAAACAAAACAATCCGCGACAAAGCCATGCTTAGGAAACTATGCGGATCTGCTCTTGCCTCTCAGCCCTAGTAGCCCTGGATCTGTGTAAAGACAAGCAACTCCCGCCGTCGCTGAAGAAGAACTTCAGCGTCACCTACGATCAAGACTCCCCATACAGGCCACAGTAAGAATGACGCAGAACATTCCAACTGGCACGGGGTGTTGGTGTGTTCCTCATTTACTCGGGCAAGTTTGACAGACCGCCGAATTTGAACCATCCATATTCGTGTCCCAATGACATTGGATTTTAGTGAGCCACCCCCATTTCAAGTCGCGACGGGTTCGTGCACCCCTTGGTCATGGGGGTATGGCAAAGATTGACAGCTCATTCGGTGCCCGAAAGGGTTGACTTCCACGAAACCAAAGGAGGCCCGAAGAGGATGGTTCCAACATCAGGTAAACACCCACTTCCCAAAGCCCACCTTTTCTTGGGTAGTTGAGTCCAAGGAGGTTTACCCCCCCAAAATACAAAAAACATAAAGGAAAGGAACCCACCGCGGACTTCCATGAGTACTGAGAACGGGAGCGGTCCATGAAGGGCCCGAAGTGTGATCACTCTAGCTCTATCAAGGCAACTCACCTAAAACCTGAAAAGGGAAATACCGGGGCCAAATATGAAAAGTATGAGGCCAAATTCGGCGCGCATCTGCGTGAATTGGAGTACGGCTAAGGCCAAGTGAGTGCGTCATTTTTTAGGATTTGGACCCTCCAAATGGAGGCGTTGTCCTTTTGGTTTCCCGAACTAAAAACAAAACAAAAAAGGAACCGCCCCAAAAAAGGACACTCCTGAGAAAGTTCACGGACTGAAAGACAGGCATTCTGAGAACTCATCTGGGTGCTTCCGAACGTCCAAACGGGAGCTGCATTTCCCAGCGACGTCAAAGCACGGACTCGGTAGACCCTGTGACAAATATGAGGTCCTGAGCTTGATCCTGCGCCCAGCCACTTGTCTTGGCTGGAACTAGAACCCCAGCATTTGTTTTTTGGCTGGTTAGTGCAAAACAACGGGGACCCCAAAAAGCAAAAAGATAAGGAGGGGAACTAATTCTGGGGAAGTTGTCCAGGCTGGGTGGATGCCTCCATCTCGCACCGCCTAAAAAACAAGGAAGGAAAATTCCCCTGCAGGTACCGACAAACGTTCTGGTGAACCAACCATGGTTTCCTTTCGTGGTGCGGCGTATGGGATTTCGCAACCGTCCCGTCCACAGCACCTCCGGGACCCCGAAGATCCATTTCCTGCGCAAAAAACAAAACAAAACGCTGAAACAGGGATCCTTGCATTATACACCTGAACATTGCAACTTGTAAATGGTGGTTTCCAACTTTATTTTGGTGTTGAAAAAGCAACATGTTTCAAATGGAAAAGCAAAATGATTTTCTTTTAACGAGCCCTGTGAAAGACGGTGCCACGACAGTCGTTTTGTGGGGGCGAAGGACTGGCCTGCTCGAGGTTCGGCTGCCCCAGTTCAGAGTTCAGCATGTACAGACCTCGGCTGGGCCCTGAGGGAAAAAAAGAAAGCCCTCGGGCGGCTCGTCTTCTTTTTCTTCTTCTTCTTTTTTTTTGGGGGGGGTTGTAATTAAAACGGAAAGGAAAACCAGAATTTCCCCCCAGAATTGCCCCCTAAAAAAACATGAGCCAGCTACTCTTTGCCAAGCATCGTTGTTTTTGGAGTCCGGCAATTGTCTCTCAGTCTTCAGGCTTTCTGAACAAACAAAGTGTTCCACAGGGACAACATGGATGGATTCCTCATGAGTAAAACGAGCAACTCGCAGACAGCGATACATGGCCATGGGTCAAAAACCCAAATCGGTTAGCCCCCAGTGAACATCCCAATCCAACCACTAAAATGGGAAGCCTAAAATGGGTGGCGAATTCACCCGAAATGGGATCCCAAAACGGTTTTGACAACCACAGCCACATGGCATGAACCCATGCGCCATGGTCAAAGCTGCCGTGGGCATCATTGTTCTCCAGGAATCCTCACCATGCTTGGAAGTCCATGACCGGCACCAGGAAAACCGGTGTCGTTTTGACCAAGGCACCTCTGGTTGCAACCAGCCCAAACCAACATCTGTGACCAGCGAGTCAGAGGCCCTTGCGGTGCAGGCCTACGGAAAGTGGCCACATTTGGATCCAAGGCGAACCTCTCCCAAGGTGGCGAACGAAGCGATCAGACCCAGTTCTTCAAATCCCGAACTCCAACAAGCACCCCGAAACTCACACCTTCAAGCTTCCAAGTCGAACATGTCTGGGCGTGCCTCTTTCTTTTTTTCAGGCTACCCTTTTGATTTTGGTTGTTGTTTTTATTTTTTGGCGGGTTACCCTTTTGATTTTGGTTTGTTTTCTTTGTTTTTTTAAGGACTTTTGATTTTTGATGTATATTTTTTGGGGGGACAACGGCGAGGCCGCGATTTTGGGGGTGCCCCAACAGTCAACACAGACCCATTCGAGACACCCCCCCAAGCCCCGGAAGCCCCCCGGAGGGGCGTAGCGCGAGCACCTGAGAGTCCTGGCGTTCGAACTGCGATCGACACATTGCACCTGTTTGATATATATATATATATGTATAATATACACATGTATCTCACATGTATCTCAGTGTGTGTGTGTTTTTTTTTCTTTTTAAGACGCCGTTGATCCTCTCAGAATGAGATACATGTGTATATTATATATATATGGTGTATATGTATTCTTGTGTATATGTATAATATATACATATACCAGATGTATGTATGTAGATATGAGTGTACATGTACATGTACAAGGACCCTGTTTGATGTACCGCAAGTATACCGCCAAGTCATGGCGAACAACTGAGCCTTCTTCATGTCATTCCTGATGAACGGTAGCAACAAAATCCTGAAAGAAATCAGGATCCGAGAAACATTCAAGCAGCAAATGGCGGGATGCACGGCCACATGCACATGGATCTTCCAGACAGGGAACGGCCCAAGTCGTATAAGGCCAACTGCTTACCCACCTCAAATTGGGGTGTGTTCAACAAAAGAAACCTATTTCTGGGGCTTCGCCCTTTGAGTCAATATTCGCCTTCTGAACCCAAAGTGATAGCATTGGGCACACCAACTGTCTCTTCATCAGGGCAGGGCTACCATGTTTGAGGGGACACCCAAAACGTGTGGTTTCACTTTCAAACCACCAACAAAGGGTACCAACTCGCCAACTCCAAAAAAAGCGGCAGACCCATATCTCTGGCCAGGCCAGCCCTTCCCGCACTCAACCCCTCCTCATCCAGCCAGTTCCGGGTCCGGAAGTACTGCAATCGCTCGCTGCTCTCCGCCATGCTCTCGCCGGGGTACATGTACATCCTGGCGCGCGTTCCCGCGCTCATCCCACTTCCGATGGGCCAAAAAACGTACCCTCCCTCCCACTGACATGGCAACTGACAGGGGGTCCTTTTGCTTCAAAAGGAGTTTGATCTTCCAGGTACCTCCCCACAGGTACCTCCTGTTACTTGGAGGAAGCGTAGCCGAACTTTTGATGTATCCCCAAGTAAAGGACATGTACCTTGTGTGAAACAAAGTCATGCGCTAAAGGCTAAAGTGAGACTACAAGCTGTACAGGGCCTATGAAAAAAAAAAAACACACGCAAAAAAAAAAAAAACATAAAAGTTTTGATGGTCCACGCCCAGAAAGTTTCAAGTGGAACTCCGGGAGGGCTCCAGTCGTGTTTGTCGGAGCTTCGGCCTCGATTTCAGACCGGGCCGGGGGTTCGGGGTTTCGGGGTTTCGGGGTTGGAGCCAAACTGGAAGTCCAAAGAGACTTGGAGGTTCAACCCACTTAGCAAGTCAGGGGAAAATCACCCCAGCTACACCAGGTATGACCATGGTAATAAACTTGGACAAACGAACAAGCGGGGATACGGAGGGAGCGGGGATATGAAAGGATTCCCTTGGCGCCATGTCCCATATCAAACTTAGTCAAGGTGCATTCAGGGGGAATCCTCCCGTATCCCTGGTTCCCCCCCGTATCCCTGCTAGTTGGTTTCCCTGATTAAACCTATTTACCTGACATTGATTCAACATCCAAGGAAGTTCAGGGACACCTGTCAATGAAATCTTCCTTTGCGACCTTTGGCCGAAAGGACTTCATCCAAGCTCAAACCAGAGATCAGGCACCAGCCAGAGTTCAGTTCTATAGCCTCGAATTTGGACCCGGCGTTGGATGTTCAATGAACGCGTCGCCATTTCTATAGGCGATGCATAGTTGGGCTTGACTCAAAATGTTGGTACCCTATTGAATTCTTTGGGGTTATTCACTCCAAAAAAAGACACCAACCCTCAAAACAAGACTGCTACCAAAACAGGGTTCCACCCCTGAAAAGAGGAAACCCGCCCGTCAGGCTTCCTTCTTTCTCGGAATCCGTTCGAGATTCATTAATGCTCCCTGCATGGGTTGGAGTTGTTAAACTTTTGTGGGGGAAACCAAAGAAAACTACCAAAAAACACAAATGGCAATGGGAAGGGGGGGGGTCCCTTTTCGGGCTACCCTTGAGACAAGGACTGCTGGGTGTTCAAGGAAAACAAAAAAGGCAAACCAGTCCAGTTCGAAGGGTCACGATGAACCCATTTGGGGCTCAACAAACCCGAGCCCCACAACTCCCAGGGGTTGACATCCACCCAAGGAGGCTGATCACAAGCAATCGCCATCTCTCGACTGAATGTGACGCTCTCGCCATGTCTCGGGCCGTTTTTGTCCACCTCCAAGAAATGCGGCTGCTACACGTCACACACATGGGTTCTGAAGCCTTTGATGGACGTCAGCTAGCTGAGAGTTTCTGTCCACCAACTACGTAGGTGGCTCCCCATTCAAAATCCACGCATGGAAAAAAACTGCAGCCCACGGAATCCAACTCTGCATAGCCAGGGTCAGAGACTGGGCAACTTGGCAAAAGAAAACAAAAGCATCGCCTTTGGTAGTGGTCAAAACAGCATCACTACCGAAAAACACTCAAAATGACTGAAAACCCCAGTCCCCTTCACACAGAAGCCAAACAAATCTGACTGTTTGCGGAGACCACCGTCTTCGGCCTGAAAATATTAATCTCATCCTCCGACTCCTTTGGAAGTGACGACCTGAGCAGTTTCCGATGAGCTTCCATGTGGGTGGTTTCGCCCCCGGGGAAAATCGATAATACTGTGGATGGACAAAATCCTGCACCAGTTGGAAACCATGGGAAACCACTGTTTGTTGGTATTTAAAGGGGAATCATCCCTCCAAGGCCTCTTAGGTGGTGCAGGATTCCGTCCATCCACAGTATGTCCAGTAGTGATAGATTCCATTTAAACCAACAGAGGAAAATACAAAATGTTCTTGAGAAGCATGTCATAGAATACACTTCAGCCCACCATATTCCGAAGCAAATGGACGGAATGTCATATTTACGCCCTGCTAGAATACACTCAAGCCAACAACAAACAATAAGGAGCAGAATACCCCGGGTGGGACAGCTACAGTACAAAGCCCCTCCAAAGGCTCAGAAGTCTTCGCGTGTTCCGATGACTGCCATCTGTGTGCCCAGATACAAGCAGAATGCCGAACAAAGGAAACTGCCGATGTCTCCGCTAAATATGCATATACATAGTTTATACGGCTGTCATGTGGAAGCGCAATTCAGAGTGAACCACACTCGCTAGCGAGAGGCTCCAGTTGAATCAACCGTTGTGAGCCCCATTGTGTGTCCCAAGGAAATTGGATTTTGGTGAGTAACCTCCGTTTCCTCGTGGTGTTTTGGTGAGTGTCTTAACATGGGGGAACCTCCAACATGAGTGGTTTTACTATTGGTTCCCTGTCAAGGAACCAAGACAGAGTACCCTCACAAAAATGACACCCCATAGACAGTTGCTCATGTATCTTTACGAGGATCACCTTGGCGAGTGGCCTTTCACTTCAAGCAACTTGCTGACAATGCGTGTTGACTGTGATCGTTGAAGGTCGTTGCTTGTTGACTTGAGCTTGTCGAGAGTCATGGGGGGCTGGGGCGAGGGAGGGGGGAAGGGGGAGGGAGCCTTATTAAGGCTTAAAGGGGCTCCCACCCCCTCCCTCCCCCCCAGCCCCCATGAGAGAGGAGTGAAAGCGGCAAGTGTAAAGGAATTCTGCAAAGCCACCACCTGCATCTTCACCTGCACCAGCACCAACATCACCACCACCACCCCGCCACCACCCTCATCCTCATCATCACCACCGCTGCCACCACCACCACCACCACCACCATCATCAAAATAACAATAACAACCGTTACCCCAATCACTCAGAAGCTTGCGAACGTGGGTACCTCATTGCCCTCTTGGTGGTTTAAAGAGGACACTGCGACCCAGGAGTAATCCAATCACGATAAGGTAACTTAAATACTAACAAAAAGAGATCAACAAAAAGTCCAATTACCGGCATCAAAATGAATTCCCCGAGATTATCAACTTCTAAAAAAAAAAAACAACAAACAACTTCCGCGCAACCCAGCCGGCTCGATTTCATCCGGCCAGGCGGCAGCAAGGGTGGCTGCATCAAGGAGAGCCGGCGATCCCTGAGCGAACCGGCTGGCCAATCCCCTCTCGGCTGCGAACTCTGCTCCCCTGCTAAAAGGTTTTTTTTTTTTTACTTTTGGTGGTTTAATTCGGAAAACCCATTTAATGGAAAACCCAAATTCGTTGGCAAAAAGTTCTCAAGTCCTAACAGCCGTTGGCAACATGCACCGAAGCTCAGGCCCTGCCGGGAGCGAGCCCGTGGGAGATCTCACGCATGAGGGCCGGTTCAATAAGTAGAAGGGGGGGGGTGGTGGGATACTTGAAACCCAAATTGTTAGGTCGAAGCTCCCCAGGGCAAATGTACATTGGCTGGTTGGGAAAAATGGTGTCCTTTGAGGAAACTAGATTGCCCTGGTAGATGATTGAACCATCAGGTAAACCTGGGCCCTCTAGCGTTCAACCAAGCCAACCAAAAAGGACACCTATGAGCCTATGGGGTTGGGCGGTTCAAAGCCGAAAAGTTGTGACCGACCTTGGCGTGCGCACGTCTCACCTGTTCAAAAAGGCCCCGTTTAGAGTGTTGCGTCTGATTCTTGCGGCACATCCCAATTTGGGTATGTCCTTTTTTGGGGGTACCTTTTTTTCTTGGTTTTGGGAAACCACCAGGAAAACTGCTTCAAAGTTTGATGCATCACAAGGCGTTCTGCTTGAAGTTCTCTTTAACGAAGTGGCTCAGCCTGCCCAAATAGCCCAGAAAGCCTGGGACGTGTTGCGAAGTCTATGATCTTTCAAAGATGAGAATGGGATGGGCGTGAAGTCTCTACACCATACCATCATTCCGTGATAAAGTTGCAGCGCCTGTTGCCACGATTCAGGGGAGCCGTGTGAAGGATACCAGAGTGTCACACACGCCTTTCATCATAATCCCCAAGGCGACTTGTTTGCTTGCCAACTGGGAGCGGCGCAAGCAATGCAAGGCAACCACCCGAATTCCAAGCCATGGATGGGATTGGCAGGTCCTTGTTACGACCTGCTGAGAAATGGCCAGGGATATGTACATAATTTGCGTTCCTTGCTCATGCAGAAACAACGGTACAACCGGTCCCTTCATGACAAAAAACAGCAGCAGCATACATTAATACTTGTTCAAAGCAAGCAGGCAAGTACCTTGTTTAAAGAAAACAAGCTTACATGGAATAAGTGGGTTCGAAGCAAGTTTCCGATACTTTTGCTAAGCCCCTCGTTGAATCCTTTCGGTCTCAACCCCGTCTCTGGGATCCCGTTGGATTTCCACCCGCCCACTTGGCTTGCCGACATCTCCTGGGTCTCGTTCGCCAGCCTCCGAAATGGCGAACGGAGGAAGCACAACGCTCCCTCCATAGAAACGGTTGCCTCCATTTGCGTTTTCGCCCCCAGGAAAAATACAAATGGGAAACCACTGTTTGTCGGTATTTAAAGGGGAATCATCCCTGCCCTGTTAGGTGGTGCAGGATTCCGTCCATCCACAGTATGTCCAGTAGTGATGGATTACCTCTAAAACCAACAGGGGAAAAATAGAAGTTCCCCAATAGACCATCCCTAGTGACACAGAAAAAGCTGTGACCGTACTTGAGCGAAGTGGACAGCGCGATCCAACTGAAGCACAACCTGCGGCGATGTGATGTCATACACGTTTGCCAGCACTAGTTCTGTGGGAAACGGAATCCACTTCTGTGACACAACAACATGGGCCTCCCAACAACTCCCTTGTATCACAGAAGTGGGGGTAAACCCCGAGTGATCCCAAAACCCTGATCAGCATGGATGCGCGTGTCGTAGCCATGTGTACGAGCGTAATTCTAGACGTGCATATGCATCCCCTGAACCCCGAGACACGGTGCAAAAGCACAACCTGGGCCACTGAAATGGTCCAAACCCAAAACGTGGCGAAAGTCCAAAACGGAAGTGAGGCAACAGCCACCGCACTTGGCATTTTCAAAGGCCCTCCCTGGTGACTTGAAGAACCCACATTGCAACAAATCGGTCGACGCGTGGCAGGAATGCCTCTTTGGTGGAACAACGGATAAGATTGGACTACTTGCACCCTATAGTAAAGCTGGCTCTTGAGAGGATCATTCATTTCTACATGAGGATGTCAGAACGACCGCGAGATCATCGCGATTCCTGGAGAACTACCTCGAAACCCGCCTGACCCCCCCCCCCAAACAAATAGTAATAATAATGAATAAATGAATATTATCAAAAAATAAAAAGAAAAAAACGACGACGCTCAACACGACCGCTCGATGCCCCCACCGACAACCGGGATCCTTTTCGAGTGCGAAAAATCAAATCCCGTCCGAGGGCATCTGCGCCTTCGCGTGGGCGCCCAGGACCCGCCTGACACGGCATGGGCTTGCAAAAAAAAAACGGACTGCTTGGTAGCAGCCCCAAACACTACAGATGAACAGAACCCAAAAAGCCACAAGAAATATTGCGAAAAAAGAAGAAACAAAAACATAAACACACAAGTTGTTAAAAACAACTTGCCAACAACAGTGAAGCCCCCCAGCCTCCGCTTCCCTCCACGTTTGTCCAGTTTGGAGCCCATTTATTTCGGGCGAAAAGATGTCCGAATCCAGGAATCCAAGCCTGAAAAACAACCAAACAACGGGTACCAACTCAAAAAAAAAGATGAGCCTTGAGGATTCTTCCTGTCCAAATTTGTTGCAAACTCGGACACTGAATTTGTGGAAGCCAAAAGAAGGGGGTCCCACAGGGTTTTTAGGGGTGTCCTATTCATCAGCTAAAACTCGTGCAGACTTTCTGGGGGGGGGGAAGCCGGGGTTGCTCAGATCCGGGCGTCTTGGCGCCAAGTCGGGCTTAGGGGGCGACCAAAGCCCCTGCCATACCAGTCCCCTCCCATAAGTTGGGCAGAAAGCTTCGAGCAACCCGACTCCCTGCTTTCCTAGGGCGAACTTCCATCTCCATTCTTTCCAGGGACCCTTCTTGCTAGAAAGCCACCAAAACCCTCGGGAAATGGCTGGTTTGTGAAAAGAACGATGGCTGAAAAGAATGGGGAATCAACCACTACAGCTTTTGTTTTTTCTGACCCTTTGTGGAAATTTAGACGGAGGTGCCGTTAGAGCCTTACTGACAGGGGTGGCGCCTGCGACAAACGCTTCATCAAGAGGCGTTCTTTCTTCACTCGGTTGCTTTGCGGAAAAGGAGAGCTTGAGGGGTGGAAGAGTTGTTTTTAGACGTTTTTCTTCTGGATTTTGCCTCAAGTACAACAAAAGGGAAAACGAGTTGAAGTTGGTCTCCAAGGGTGCGGAAGTCCGTATTTGGTGAGAATAGAGCTGCATCGTGGGTTGTGCTGTCTTTTCGTGTCTGCTGGCTGAGCAAACACATGAAGGACGCTACTTCTGGCCGCAGAGGGCTCAGCACGGCACAATTCGCCCCTCTTACGGCAAGCGTTGATTCGCTTTGCATTGTTAGGTGAAGCTATTGCTTGCTGGTGCTCAGCAGGGAATGAGGGAATGACCCTTACAAACCATCCCTTGTAGTTTCCTTTAAGGAGACCCCTGGTTTCATTCCTTCATTCCCTACCTATCGCACCAGCAAGATTGACGTCCCGACGCGTCTTCGCGTGTTTGGCTTGGTTTGTCACAAAAGGCTCTGAGCCTTTGGCTGCCTCAACGAGGTTTCGTGTGTGTCATCCTTGACATCCTAGACGTTGACTACCACAATTTTGCGGAAAGTTAGTGTTGCCGCCTCAACTTTGGTGCACTTTGCTTGGATGTTAGGACTTTAACCTTCCAACGAATGGGTTTTTCATTAAACCACTAAAAGTCCGCCGTGCTCGGCCTAACCCCCGGCCCCGACGTCTGATACGTAGGGAATGGGGGGGGGGGGGGTCCCCCACGTACCGCGCGGTAATTTGATGACGTTCCACGTAGTCTTCGGGGAGCCGGTGTCGCCAAACAGGGGTCCCAGGCTCGAATCCGCCTGCCAGCTCTTTCTCTTTTTGCCGAAAATCTGGAAAAACTCTGTGTTGTTGGACGTCCTTTTTGCGAAAACGCTGGAAAAACAGCGTTTTTTTGCGGGAAATGCTGGGGAGCACAGGGGAATTGCAAGGAAGTGCAAGGAAATAAGGGGAGTAAATAGGAAGTCGACATGAAAGCAACGGGAAATGAAAGGAAAACAAAGGGGAACTGAAAGGGACATGAAAGGGACAGAAATAGAAACAAGGGGAGCGCAGGGGGAATGAAAGGGAAACAAAGGACAAGGCAGCCAATCGGCACGACGGGAGATGTAGGGAACTGACTCGCAACGAAAGAACGGGACATGCGTGGAAAACGAAGCGGACATACCGAGAAAATGACAGGGACATGAAGGGGGAGTTGAAAGGAATGGAAGGGACATGACCAGGACATCGTGGGAAACGTGAAAAGGAGAGAGAGAGAGAGAGAGAGAGAGAAAATAAAAATGTCAAAAATCATGTTGCACTACTTGTCACTTGTGCATGCATGATGTACACTACCCGACTGCAGGCCTTGAGTCTACCAGGAAAAGAGTGCATGCTGGCTAACTACATTTGTGTTTGTGACAACAGAAACAACACTTGCACTAGCAGTAAAGTACCAACGTATTTTAACGTGGTAGCGGAGCTGAGATCCTAAACATAGGGGAGCTCCATCAGCACAACCAACTACAGGAGCAGACAACGGGCCCACAGCAGAGGAGACAATAGGAGCCACAACTACGGGAACAACACAGGAGCAGGAAGACGTCCAAAGGCTACACAAATACAAACTGCCACCACCGTTCTTCACTGGTGACTACTCACAGTACGAAGAGTGGCTGTTCAAACTACAAGCATACCTCGGACTCATCGACCGAGACTTCGACATGGTACTACAACTAGCACAAGCAGCTACAAGACAAATTGAAGATGCAGACATCAGAGCCCACATACGCGACCCTACACAGGCAGCAAAAGCAGTAGACCTCTCACGAGATCTACACTACATCCTCATCAACATCTGCCAAGGTGCAGCAGCTACAGTGGTCAGACAAAACCGCTACAATGCCAATGGATGTGAAACACTACGGCTTTTGCACAACAGGTTCAGCCTACCAGTAGGAACACGCAGTGTTGGCTACCTCACCAAACTACTGGAACCTACATTCAATGAAGCACAATTTGAAGAACAATTCCTACAGTGGGAGTATGACATCAACCGCTACGAGAAAGACAACGGCACAGCACTACCAGATGGAGTGAAGATTGCAATACTACTCAACAAGACTAAAGGAGCACTTCAACAACATCTCCAACTACGCGCTGGACAGATCACGAACTACAACGAGATCAGAGTTGTGATCCTGGGCTACTACAAAACCATATCTGCATTCTCAAGAGCGAGCTCAGCAGTTGGCACAAACTACAATGGTGGAACAGCACCAATGGACGTGGACAACATTTGGAGAAAAGGAAGAAACTACAAAGGCAAAGGCAAATATGGAGGCAAAGGACACTACAAAGGAAACAAAGGAAAAGGCAAGTACAGAAGCAAAAGCCACTACAAAGGATTCGACAAAGGCAGCAAAGGAAACTACAACAAAGGAGGATACAACAAGAGCAAAGGAAAAGGCTACTCAGGATCCAAAGGATATGGATCAAGCAAAGGCTACAAAGGCCAAGGAAACTACAGCAAATCAAAAGGGAAAGGAAACAACAACTACACAACATGCCATCGATGTGGCAAGCCCGGCCACTGGGCACAAGACTGCAGAGTGCTAGTATGGCACATAGGAGAAGGAGAAGAACTACATCCAATAGAAAATGAACAAGCAGATCATGACAACAATGAAGAACTACCTTAGGATGTGAACGACACCTGGGACTGGTACTACGAAGGAGAAGAAGGACAACACGAGGTGAACTACATGGAGGAGAACTGGAACGACTACGACTATGACAACAGCTGGGATTGGAATGACAACAGCTATGAGGACACAGCAAACTACATTGGAGGCATCAACGAGTCACACCTCACCATTGGACACATCAGACAAGCAAACTCACGACTACACAAGCACAAATCCAAATCACTACTTGGCAAGAGAACAACACACACAACATCATGGAACGACCACAGCAAGAGCTTTCAACAATTCCTACAAGAAGACAACACACAGCCACACTTTGACATAGCAGCAGCAAGACAACAACAAAGGAACAAGAAGATTGAGGACACTATCACACACTACATCATGTACTCCAACTTCAAGTCATACCACCACCTGTTGATCGACTCAGGAGCATCTACACATGTTTGCCCGAAGGACTACGCACC